AATAATTTATTTTATTAGGTGCTGTTATTATGGTTGCTGTGATTATAGTAGTAATTATAACAGCTTTAAACAATTACAAAAAGTAGAAAAAGTTTAAACAACTTAATTCTGAAAAGGATTTAAAGAGCTGTACAGTTGTACGAAAATAGTTTAGTAATTTTTAAGAAACTTGACTTTAGTTAAACCATAAAATTTATTTATTATAGGAAATAAGATGGAGGGATGCGTAGGTGAGATTGTCGTTGGGGATCATTTATCCTTCACCCCAGCTTTGTAGTCTATATACCTTAAGAAGCGACTTGTAAGCTGCCTGCTTCTGCTAAGCAGGAGACATATTTCCAACAGATAGCGTGCTTGTGAGTGGCCATAACGTCTTTTGTGACGGAGTACTTTGTAGTTTTTTCCCGTCATTATCAATGTTATGATTGCTAAACTTCTAAACTTTTGTTTTTTCTACAGACTTCTGCTAAGGCGAAACTTAAACGAAACATAAGGGCTATGGCAAAGGCCACAAATATATTAACTTTAGGTAAAGCACTGATTCCCTTAAGTAAAGGTCTGTAAATGCACACTTTATTTCCCTTCGAAGTGCGAAATGTAATAAGGCCTTGGCAAGATGCTCGGCACGGTAGTCGGATCCGCGTCTTTCTACTGCGGCCACCTTCTTTCCCTGCAAGAGTGCAAAATCAGCGACACAGTGCCGTCTGCTGGTTTTGTTGCAGTTCATCTTGAAGACAGATAGAATAGGTTTTTGCAGGCTGCTTATGACCATTCTCATGGCGGCCGTAGTAATGTTGAAGGTCCTTTACAAGCTGTACTCCCCCGTTGGCGGCTTAAATGTCGATATCTTCTATTTTTCAAGTAGGTGCAGTACATGAACATAACCATAATGGTACTCACCATTCCAAAGGTATTATACCTATGTGTACACGTTGGCGTGGTTTTCTAACTCTTATTTTCTCAGGGGCTCCCCTTAGCTATCACCATATCACTTGCCTATTCCATGTTCAAAATGCTCGAAGATAAAAACCTCGGCCGCCGAGTGGAAGCGGGCGAGATAATGGGGGGGGGAGCGCCACGAGCATTTGCTCTGGCAAACAGGAACTCTCATGCACAATAAAATGACTGTAGTCGAAGGTTTAAAGTAGTCTTGCGCGAAACGCAATGCTTAATTATCACTTCTTAAGGCCAGCTGCCCCAGTCGTTGTCTGCTAAAATCCCAGTTGGAGAGCAAGTGATCTGTTGAAGTAGAGGATGTTATTTGTCGGGGCATTGTCCTCAATTCGCCGGCCTACAGAAAGGCTGGAGACGTTGACTTCAAACGCTTCGATTTTCACACCCGGCAGTTTGCACCAGTCAGCCCCGAATGTTTTCCGTATTAGTAGCATCCAGAACGGAAGCAGCTTTGCTTCTCTTCAAGGAGGCGCTAAACGGCCAGCACCACTAGGACATTCGACCATACACCGACTTGTTTATGTATACCCCTTTTCCTCAGCCTCCAAAAAGATGAGCACAGTAGTCCGAGAAAATGGCAAAGGCACTTTACGTGTGTACGTGAAAGGCGCAACTGAGCAAGTAGCTGGATTGTTCAATGTGTGACCCGTGATTAGTCAGTTTCTTCCGTCAGATATTGGTCTTGTGCGGGAAGATTCTATGCACAGACGTGAGAGGGGTGGTAGCGCGTACACTCGAAAATTTAGCCAGAGAGAGCCTTCGAGTCATTGCACTGGCGTACACCGACTTCCAGGGCCCCGCAAAACAGAAGACGAGTCATTCTTTCTGACTTTTTACTGGTTTTATTACAGGCTGCGCAGCAACATTTAATTTTGGGATAAGTAAAGGGAAGAGCAACCTCCGCGCGAGCCTCTTGTTTTCACTGGAGTATTGGGAACCGAGGATTCTTTGCGAGTAGAAATATCTTTAGCTGTGCTTGAGTGTCAGCTGGTCGGTAACCTGCCCGTGTCCAGGAAACCTTCCATTTAACAGATTCGGATGTACCATTCAGGAATAACAGTCCGCATGTTCCCCGGCAATAACCCTATCACACAGCACAGAATATAGCTCAGCAATGCGGTATATTTTCGGGCCACCAGAAACTCTGCAAAGAGGTACCAGATTTCCGCAGTCTGTAGGGGGGGGGACAAACTTCTGAAGGTGGCGACTTCGGTGCGGGTAATCACCTGGTCGTCGCCGGGAGACAAAAAAATTCAGGCGGACACCTTAAAGGAGCTAGTCGTTATAATATAAATATAAAGTTATTCAATAAGACTCGATATCGACTGTTGCTCAGAACGAAGTCTTTGCAGTAACGGGTGTCAGGACTAACCACGCGCCAGCTCTGAATTCAGTGCATGTTAGGGTTTTCAATGGGCCTTTCTGGATGGGACTGGTCATTCCTATAAGGAACTACAGGCGGAGGGGGTGGGGCCTCTATTACTCTTATCGTACCTCTCAGACGTGGTTATTGAAGTATCGGATATTGTACTGATGGTCTACAACTTCTCGTCTATTTGTGAACGCTGTGATGTGGAGGAGGAACTTTTATGATCCCATACGAAAGTTTATACAGTTTCAGCTGATGGCTTGGCGATGCCGAAAGCTTTTAAATAAGCTTCTTTAAAATTGTTTTACAGGTAAAGCTAGTCGCGTTCTGGTGGCCTTCGCTGGAGCTATCATTGATAACGACGGTCAGTCGCCGCTAAATCCCTTGCAATTTCTGTGGATTATTTTAATATTGGACACGCTGGCTGCTCGCTTTGACCAAAGAAAAGTTTTCTTTATTCTTTTAAACTTTATGAGCGTCCACTTTATCTGGTATTTATCTTTTGCTAAATTCGAACGGACTCTACTGAATAGACAGTCGTATGGCTCTGATAAAAAGAACTTGATTACGAGCACAATGTGAAGAAGATACTTTCTCCAATGCTCTTTCAGTTGAGCATCTTGTTTATTGTTCTTTACGCCCCTAAACTTATATTCTGCGGAGCTGTGTTAAATAGTTGGCAGCATTTAACCCTTTTTTCGATGTCTTTGTGTTGTGTCAACTCTGCAATCAAGTAAACTGTCGAAGAATTCGTGGATGTCTGGGATTAATAGGCAAGAAGATAAATTTTTATGGCTCAGTACGATTTTCTCTTAACTAGAGTACAACGTTTTTCAAGGAATTTCGAAATATGTTTGCCTCCATTATAATTTTTGAGTTTCTGGTGCAGTTGGGTGGGAACTTTGTTGGTTGCACGTTTCTTGGGACGGCAGATTCACTGAAGTGCTTACTTCTCGGCTTGACTAGCATTCCTTTTGAAATTGTAGTCAGTAATCTTTCAATTATGACTAGGGGTGAATCCTCTTTAAATAGTAAAAAGACAAAGGAGGGCTAAAATAAATACTTTAGTCCAAAGAGTTAATTCAATTATCTTCTAAAGAATGCAAGATTTTTGTCATAATGTAGAGTCATTAGTTACGTGTTTGCTTATTTTTTTATTTTCTCTTACGCTGTACTATAACCGTTAAGATTACCGTGGAACTTTGCGTTAAAGTAATCTAAATTTATATTAATAAGAATGATTGAGAGTACTTGTCGCATCGAAAACAACTTTTTAAAAAATTGTTAATTAATAATAGAGTTCACCTTAAGTGGCTAGCGAACATTAATAATCTTAAGCTGTTCTACAATTTTATAGTGACTATTAAGTCACTATTAAGTTTTATATTCGGTGCCTATGTTGGTTTTACGAGCTCAAATCGACGTGTTTCGATAGTTTTTCGTCCCACAAGCTTTTTTATTCTTCCCTCTGCTCTTCGTAAAGGTGTAATACGCTATGACTACATAACAACATATTGATCGCTTTTTCGCTTTTTACCTGTCGCCATGCAGTGTTATAAACAGGATTAATACTAAAGGCCTATAACTAATTTAATTGTTTAGGTTAACGGTAGCAATTAGGTCGACTACGTTATCTTTTTTTTAAATTTATTGTTTTCTAACCTTCACAAACAGCATCCAAGTATGAGGGACACTTGAATATATAAAGTTAAAAGCTATTCATGGAAGGTTTTTTTCAGACAAGTAGCTTGTAGTCTCGCAAAGCGCTCTGCTGACCAAGTTCCTTATGTCAATTGTACTTAAATAAGTTTGTCAGCGCGCTGTAGTCTTTTCTATTTAACTCTTGGTTAAAAAAGTACGAGTAATTTAAGAACTCGGTAGGTTTATTCATAAAAAAAATTAATATCTTTTTCTAAAAGAATTAAGGAGCTCTGTGTTTTATGATAACGCCTCTGGTGACATGCTATAAAACTCGAAATATTAGTTGCCAAGATACACACTTATTATAAAACAGATTTAAATAATCAATACGCTTTATGTTTATAAATTTGCCATTTTTTTAGGCATAAAAAAAAAAAAAGAAGGCTTAATTGCCGACATTTTATTAAGAAGACTGCTTTTGACCAGTATTATTAAGGAAATGCCATTAGAACTACACAGATCTGGAAAATTTACAAAAAATTAGTTGCTTGTATAAATAAGTGCTTTTAAAGAAGCGAATAATTTTTTAAAATTAAATTTTTTTTTTTTATTATTTTTGCTTTCCAGTTACCAACTTCCTTCCGCGTAGGGTTTCGATAAAAAGTTACTTTAAATTGTAGCTCAGATTTTTATAGATCGCTTCAGATTAGTTTGGTAAAAATAAAGCGTTATGGAATAAAACTTTAACAAAAAAAAGTTTTACTAAATTCATAGGATGTTGTACTGTTTTTATTAAGGTTAGAAAGTTAAAAAATTCTAGCAATTTACTTTTACATACGTAAAGCCTTACTTTGCCTTTTAGCTAGTACTGGAATACCCTTCACTTTTCTCTTACCTTCAGCACGATATTCGTTAAGTCGGCCAGAACTATCTCTTTTCTAAAGTAGAAATCACCACCGACCTGTAAAACTTACAAAGCAAGCACAGGCAGTTATAGTATCAGATATCATTAGCTAGTTTTACAATGTTTCCCGGTAGCTCGAGGAGGGCATAGGAGTAGCTCTGTTTGATGACCAAGTTCGTAAGTCACTTTCTATGTTTATTACTATTATTATTCTTATATCCATACCGTAGAATCTTCCTTGTGCAAATATTTTTTGTTGTAGGAAAAATTTACGCAAAACTTTATTGAATATATTGAACAGTGCCTACAAGTTTCTGAAAGAAATCAACTTGAATGGGCAAGATTTAAGCTTCAAGAAAGAATAAACAAATTCATATGTCCAGGCTGTAACGTTTTTTTATATGGTTCAGCATATTATTTTTGTTTTTTAAAGAATAGCGATTTGGATTTAACAGTTATTCATGGGTCTGCGGCCCCAATATCCGCTAGTGAAAACTGTGAAAAACTAGCTAACTGTGGCCTTAATCTAGAATTGTTAGAGGAACTCTTTGAAAGTTGTGATACATTTACTAAGAAAACTTACGTTTCCTCAACTAAGTGCCCTGTTTTTAAAGTTATATGCTATATTCCCGGTTATGAAAATGTGCAAACTAAAAAAAATGTTTTTAGTTCAATCTTCTGCGACGTCACTATAAATAATCGGTTTGTTTTTTTGGTTATAAATTTCAAACTTTTTAGTCCTCTAGCAACACTGCTTTTCTTTTACGTCTTGTTTACTTTTTATATTTACGATGTTTTGATTTAATCTAGAATAATTTTGATTTGCTAACTTTTCCTTTTTTAAAAAAAATTAACTGTAACCAACTTCTTATTTTTCAGTCTCGCCTTAGTAAACTCTCAACTTATTATGGAATACATAAAACTCAACAAGTCTACAAGAAAACTAATAATTGGCGTTAAAGATTGGACCAAGCGCCATAACATTAGCCTTTCCGGCTATAGTATAGCTCTCCTGGTGATTTACTACCTGCAATCACTCCAAGTTTTACCATTCTTACAACCGCCCCTCGGAAGTACTTGGCCTCATTCACCCAGAAATATGATAGAAGGTTGGGATTGCACCTTTAAGAGTAGCGACGAGTTAGCTCTTGACTGTCAACATAACTTACTTAGTTATAATGCTATTGAGCTATATTGCGGATTCTTAAGATTTTACGGTGCTGAGTTCCCTTATAAAGATCGCTTTGTATGCATCCGGGATCATGATAGAAACTTGCTTTCTTCAAAAAACTCACCCGCAAATTTAATCGATAAAGTAACAGTTGAGGGTGAATGTTGGACTATGAAAAAAAGCGCGATTGTGATTCAAGATCCTTTTGAGTTGTGTCATAATATTACTCATTCTTTTAAAGAAGAATCCCTCAATAAATTTAAAGAGGAGTTAATTACTTCATACCTTAGCATGCTAGAGGCCGTTACTCTTAGTACCGCTTCTTTTCCAGAAAAGAAATGGGACGAATTTTAAAGTATTTCATAAATCTACGTTTATGTTTTTTACCAATATTTTGCTTATTATACGTTAGAACTTATATATTGTAATTTATAAATGGTTCGTTATTGCGTGTAAGACCAACTTGGAAGCAAAGTTAACTTGGAAAAAAAAAAATTTAATATAGTAAAGTGATAATTAGTTAGACTTTCCTAGTAAAAACTACTTTGCAAACGTAACTACTCTTTTAAATCTTATATATTCTAAAGAGTAGATTTAAAGGACTGAATTAGTTTATGCTAACTTTTTATAATTATAAGACTGCATCGAAGTATTTAACTCGCGTTATAAGATTCACTGTTTACTTATGGGGTTAAATTAAGGCAATTTGTAATGTGTAAGCATAACAACACACGGGCCTCACTACCATTCAACCGAAGAAAAGTCGGAATGAAGCGGTTATTACTATAAGAAAAAATCAATTCCGGTTCGTCGAGTTTTACAAACTTTCAAAGAGGCGATCACTGCACGAAGTAATCGCTACCAAGTAAAAAAAGAGGCGGTGTAAAAATTGTAAGCCTGCTCTGTTTATTCGGCGAAGGGTTGAACCACTGCATATAATAACCTGGCAGCGCATAAGAAACGCGTACAAGATTACTTCGCCAGCGTCCAGCGTTGGAAAGAGCAATTGAGCATACAATGTCAAAAGTTTTTAAATCCCACGCATTTTTTTTATGGGAGGGGGTAACACTCCTTGTCAAAGACTTAATTAGAGGGCAGGGTCGGCGAAGCCAAACCCAGGAATTGAGTTTACATGCCAATACTTATTTCTGCTGGACTATGACGACCTCTTAATCCCGGTATGACGGGCTTACTTATTAATCTTGTTAAATTGCGTACGAAAAATCCTCAGTATGTCAACTGCCGGAGCAAACAGGAGGAGCAATTAAGTTTATCGTCTCGCAGAGAAAGTATAGTTATAGAGGTAAATAAGGAGGTAGAACTACACTTAACATGTAAGATTGCATGTGACTAAGAAGAGGCATTTCACATGAACTATCGAGTTAATTCCAACATATATAGACAAAACAAATATGTCGTGGGGAATGTCATACATCGACGACCTGCTACTCTGCGGCAAAGAGGTGACATACTAACGCTGCGTGCGGTTGTCTTGTAACAACTCTGCAAGCCATAAAACCTAACAATTAGAACTGTTTAATAGGTTCAGTTCGTTCAGTCAGCTGTGGAATGTCAATGATCCGCGTAGTTGTGTAGCACTTTCTTCGTTTACTGGAATATTCGATAAACCTTCCTGGTCAACGCCAGCGATTAGTAGCCTGGACCCCCGTACGAGCCCCCCCTTCGTAATAACCGCTGGGACAAGAAGCTGCTGGATATATCTAACGTGGTCGATTATTAATCCCCACCACCCAAAAGATGTGACACTGCTCTAAGGGGGAGAGAAAAATGATTATTTACTATCACGTCCTAACCCCAATGGGAATGGCCACCCTTTTGGCGCTTTGTCAAGCAAATTAAGAACCGCTGCTAGACTCCACTTCGACCCTAAGAAACAGAGAGCGACGAATATTAGGCGTCACTTTTGACCAACAATTTCGTTTTGTACCTACACCTTTGACTGTTACTGGATACAAACAAAAGGCCCTCGCAAGACTTTTGTAGAAATGATTAAGACTGTCGCACTTTACTACTTTGTATTAACACTAACCTTTTATTCAGAGTAAGCAGATGAGCCAAACAGCGGGCGTCATTGCAGTAGGATGGTTTCTAATGACATTTTATGAACTCCTTACGCTTCCTGGAGCCTACGCAACACCGCCTCGATTTACGAATGACCAAGCATGGGCGTTAGCAGGTTGCTGATCACAAGCTCAATTACGAGCACGAAATAGAAAAACAAGAAATGAAAATTCGAGAGCCCTTATATTTTGTATAATTTTTTTAGTTAGGGGTTTAAAAATTCTTGGTACTATTAATTGAAATAAATAGAATATCAGGATTGTTTTTGACTTGTTACCACACGCACTAAGCGCTTTAATAGGGGCTAGGGTTTAAAATATTAACTTGAAAAAAAAACAGTATAAATATACTAAAACAGTGAATAGTTACCTGGTAAAGCTTAGGAACTTTTTAAAGTTAGTCAATACAACTTTTTGAAAGACGTCTATCCTTAAAAAACAGTCGTGAATGATTAATTCATGCAAGAACTTGGACCTAAGTTGCTTCTAATTTCATTTTTCGAACTCGTTACCAAAACTTATATGGTAAGTATAACTGATTTCTAAAAACTTTTTAGGGGAAGGAGGTTACAATACTTCAAGTAAAATAGCTCTTGGCTTAAGAATTCTGAGTAAGGCGGTCATAACGAGGGGCACACACATTTAATAATCCACTTCTCTGTATTGTACTACTTTTTTATACACATCTCTCGCCTATCAAGAACAATTACATCTGGCTTGTATCCTTCCTATTACAGTGATTTATGTAGTGTATGACAATACCATTATAAAATATAAAAAAGTAAACTGAAGACCGACGCGCTTTTCTACTTTAAAAATTAAATCTTCGACCTTAAAAAAATACTAAAAAGGCCCCTTCTTTGCAAATTTTCGTAAACTTTATTTTTGAATTTTCTTTAAAATAATTAATAAAATAATAAATTTATCAATTTTATTTAAATCGATTTAATATTTTCTTGAACCAACTTTGCTCATATTCGTAGACAAACAAATTCTCGTACATTTCTTTATTTCGTAACAGAGCTGTTGAATTATTAGCCCTTTTATACTAAAACATAAAATATAAAAAAAAATAAAAACTTTATAACCAAAGAAAAAAGGTTAATATAAAAATAAGGTTTTTCTACATTTAAATAATGTCAATAAATTTTAAATAAAAATTAATAATTACAACAGTGGTAGGCTCTAACGAATTTGAATCCCATGTCAATAAATACCGTACAAATTTAACAGAAGTTAAATTAAAAAATTTAAAGTTTATTATAACGAAAATTAAATTTTAACTCAAAAAAAATTCTGTACAAAAAATATAAAAAGTTAATAAGATTTGACAAAACCTATTAAGATTAGAGTAAGTTAATAAGTTTAGATCTATGTAATTACCAAAATAAAAAACTTTTTTCCTTTAATAAAAATAATAGTATTAATAAAAATAAGAGTATTGAGATTATGGGTGGTTTAAAATTAACTTAAAAATTAAATTACAAAGTTATAGTATAAAAAGGTTATAAAGTTAGATGTAAAGTGAATTCAACAAAGAAAGAAAAAAAAAATTTTTTTTAAAAGCCATACACAAAAGTATTAAACAAGTAACGATGAAAAAATACGAATTAAAAATTCAAGTATGATATATTCAAGTAAGAAATAATTAATAGGAAAAAAATTAATAACTACTTTTCTTCTAACTAAGAAAAAATATAAATTTACTACAGTTTGCAATAAATTCATAATAAAAAGATTATCAAATGAAGAAAAGACGTAGTAAAATTAAAAATGTCTAAATTTTTTTTAAAACAACAAAGTTTTAATAAGTAAATAATGAATTATAAAACTGAAAAGAATAATAAAAAATGAAGTAAAAATTCCATTATAATATTAATTACAACAAAACTCCTAAACTTTTTATTTTTTTTAAAGTAAATCAGGAAGTAAAAAAAAAATAAAAACATTGAGAACTAAAGGGATTGCAACTTCAAAAATGTTTGCAGAAATGTTTAATAACAGTTTTATAAATTTTAATGACTCAATAATATAATATAAATATTACTACTATTTTTTATAAATAAAATAACTATGAGCTTTTAAAATTTTTTACTTATTTTTATATATACAAATAAAAACTTACTAAATTTTTATAGTAAAAAATTAAGATTCAAAACAGTTATTCATAAAATATTTGCATAACAAATTACAATAATAAAATTTCGCTGCAACTTGTTATAAGTAACATTTTAAGGTGAAATTCATTTCACAACAATTAAATAAACTTATTTTTTTCGTAGTAAAACATTTTCTTTCTTCAATAAATAATTATAAGTGATAATATTTCTTTAAATAATGTTATAAAACCAGTTTTTACTTCATTTAAAAAATAATGAATATAGGAAGAGAATTAAATTTAAATTGTACTATAGTTTACAGTTTATTTTATAATAACCAAGTAACGTTAATCTGTATATCATCTTAATCAAGTAACTTATTATATACAACTTTAACTTTATAAAGTCAACCTGATTATAATATTTATTGCGTAATATATTTTCTAGAAGGGTAATTTTCTTGTCTGCAGATTTCGGATCGCGAGGATCTATGAACAGTTTGTTATTTAAAGGCTGGAACTGTTCTTCAGCAACGTTACTTTTATTGTTAAATTTAACGGATTCAAAATTTTTAAGAACGAAAGTATTTCTATTTTATTGTAAAAATAAAATAAAAATTAAAAGGGCTTTAAATAACAAAGGTAAAAAAGTTTCTAAAATCTAAGACATAAAAAATAGATTTGAAATACTTTATAGATATTAAGATAAATAACTTCATAACGAAACTTTCATAATTTTCATATATAATAAAGTTTTGTATGATAACTTCAGTTTTAAATTAAAAACGAAAAAAATAAAATACAAATATTCTCCTAATCCTTTTCTTTCAGGATGAAAAATAGGCCATTCTTCACAGAGTTGCTTTAAACGTTTGTGTAAACTTTTAAATTCAGGACTATTTTTCATTATATATTATCCTTATAAGATTAATAAAAATATTATAAACAAGCACATACTAAGCTTGACACATCCGCTACGCGATTTTGGAACACAGAAACGTGCCATAATATAAGGTCTTCCGTTTCAAATAGTATATGATACTGCTTTTACTTCTCGTTCTCTTTTAAAATACCATCCTTTTATATAAGCAAAGATAGTTGTTAGCTTTTTTTTAAAGCTTCTAATAAAAGGGAGCTGAGCTTTATTACATTCCTTGCTTTTGTTTTATAATGTACAGTTGCTCATATTCAAATCTTTTTATCTGCTATGTTTGAAACTTGTTAATTAAAAGAAACTTTGCAAAAAGGGCACTCCCATGGAAAGGGAACAATATTACAAAGAACTATTAATTGTATAACTTTCTATTTGTTGATTTGAAATTTAAAGTAAAAAATTCTTTTTTGTAGTTTATTAAAAGTCAGTAACAACCTAAGGCGTTAATTTAACCTTTTTAAACTTTTAATGCTGTAATTCATACAATGATTTAAAAACTTATAAAGATGATATTATGATGCATACTCTTAATTATCCTAGAATATTGCTGGACTTCTTAATTCCTCAAGTAGTCTAGGAATTAAAGTAAAGAATTCTCTTAGCATACTAGAAGATTGCTTTAAAACTTTCAAGTATATATATTTTTTTTACTTATTTTTAAATATTACTTATAAACGCATAAACATTTTGGTTATTTTTATATATAAAAAATATATATAATTATCAAGAATAGATAGTTGTTTAGACCTTAAAAAGTGTCTTGTCGTTGAATTTTACCTTTTTTTAATTCACATACTAGACTTTCCGAAGTAATACTTAGCTTTAACGGAGGTAAAGATTGCACTGCTGTCCTACATTTATTGATGTTTATAATGTAAATATAATTTATAACTTTTTTGTAATTAATAATTTATTAGTAAATTTATTAATCCTTATTGTTATTAATTTATTAACCAAAAGACATAAATTAAAACTTTCCGATGAAACTTTTTTTCAGAAATTACGTTGCCTTTTTGTGGATGACGGCAACTGCTTTAAAGAAATATATGATTTTGTTCGTTACTGCGAGAAAACGTAAAACAATTTATTATAATAAAAAGAAAGTTTTTATTAAAAAATTATTTCTTAGTAAAATTGAAAATATTGCTAATTGTTTTAGTGACTGATAAAAATCGAATAGTTTTAATTGTTAAAAACTATTATTAAATTTATTTTAATAATTTAATTTTAAGTTAGTTGATATAATATTATTTTATATATTTTGTATTTCTGTGATAAACTATATTATTTAATTTCTTTTTAATCACAAAGTAGTTAGAAATATCTTATAAAAAAATAAACTTTTTGCTCCATTTTGTGCAATTTCTCTTCCCTTCTATCTTTTTCCGTACTTAATTTTATAAAATTGAAATGCAGCGTAAAAGTACTCCCTTATAATAAATAACTGTACAAATCTTTTGTTGTTGTAGATTTAAATTTATTATTATATAAATTTGAGTTTTATAATAAAACTCCGCTTGATGGTGTTCAAATTTTACATTTTTTTTTTGAAAAAAAATACTTAAAAACTTTTTATTTTTTAGTTTGTACTCCCTATTTTTTTTGATATTACTGTTAGTTGTCGCGCAATTAAATTCAATTTTGGTAATTCTCTAGAGATTATATAATAAATAAAAAGTTGTGTATTGTTTATTATTCTATTATCAAAATTTTCTTAACTTTTTTCAAATTTCAATATAATTTCAGAAATTTTATTATTTTTTAGCATTCAAAAAACTACAGGAAACTTTTCGGGTGATATTAAAATGTTTCTAATAAATTTTTTTATTGATTTAAATTTTCGTTATATTTAATTTTAAATGTAGTAAACTGTTTTTGTTAAATATAAATATAGTGAATAAAATATCTTTTGTTTATATTACAGAATATCATATTCTAAGTTTTAGAGAAAAGTTAATTTAATTAACATTATTAAAATTAATCTTTTTGACTCCAACTTTTTACTTTTATAAAAATATTTAAACGGAATTTAATATTATTTAAGCAATTTTATATAAAGTACATAAAAACTTTTTAGTATCGATATACTTAATCTACTTAATAAAAAGTTTACAATTTAGTATTTTTAAAAAAATTTACATATTTATTTTGAAACTATCTAAATATTATTTTTTCTTTACAATTTAATTTTTTCTGTAATAAAAACTTTTTATTAATTTTCTGTAAATCAAATTTATAACAAAAAAATGTTTAGGTTTTTTTAGTAAATTTAAAAAAATTACAATTTTTATAAAAAATAAATTTTATTTTTATAATTATATTTAAAGTTTTTAAATAGTGTTTGTTATAATATTTATTAATTTAAATATAAATAATAATGATAAAGAAATTTTTTATTTTGCAATTTTTTCATAAAAAGATATAAGAATTTGAAATTTAAAAAATAAACAAATCATTATTTTTATAGAAAAATTGTAAATTTTTAATTTTTGTTTAATTTTCGCTTTATATAATTTTCTTTGTTTTACAAATTAAATTACTTTTTTTTTGAGGTACGGGTTGGATCTAATTATTTTTCAAGGGACTCTCAAAGATGGACTTTTTTTTGTGTTAGAAAATTATAAAGAAATTAAATGCGTTGCAATCGGCGCTCGAAGAACAGATCCTTTTTATCGTAATTTTAATTAAAAATGGCAATTCTCTTTTTTAATTAAATCTTTAAATTAAGTTTTCTTGTTTTATAGATTTAAACTTTTTTTTTTAAAATTAATATTATAAAATATTTTGTTATTGTTTTTTATTTAATTTAAGAAAATTGATAATTACTTTTTTAAATTAAATGAAAAAAATTACTTTACATTAAAATACTTTTTTAGATTTAATTTGGTAATCCTCTAAATTTTAAATTTTTTTTTTATAAATTGACAAACTTTATTAAAAATTTGATTTGAATCAAATTTATTTAAAAATCAATTTTAAAAACCACGTAATTATATTTTTCCAAAGTAAATCACAATAAAAAAAATGAATAAGTTTGATTATTAAATATTTTAAAAGTTAATTTGATTTTTATTTTTATAAAGAGAAGTCACTGCTCTACATCTTTACGTGATTAAAATTAATATTAAAACTATTAGTATATTTTTTATTTTTTTTTTGTTAATTACAAGTATAACAAATTAGTTAAAAGTAAATTAAAAGTAAATTTAGAAAAAATTAATTATTTTTTTATTTACTTTTATTGTTAAATTTTAATAAAGATGTAAATAAAAGAATTTTTTTGTATCGAAAGCGTGTATTCCATGTAATCAATACCCCTAATTATCAGTGCTATTCTATTTTTTTTCAATCTTAAATAAATTTTTTAAACATTACTACTGTTACTTAGTATTTTTTGTATCTCGCTGTTTTGGTTGCTTTGATTTTTTTTATAATTTTGCATTCGCACGATTTCTCAAAAATGATTTGTAAGAAATTTTAATTTTAATTTAAAAAAATTTTTTTATAATTTATATTTTTTATTATAAATCTTAAATTATTATGTAAATGTTCATTATAATAAAATTTATTTTTTAGAATAACTATTTATTAAAAAGTAGAAGCGACCGAATTAATATATTCCAATTTAAATTTTTAAATATGATTCGTAATTGTGTTAGTGTCAATAGTGATTGCTTTAAACTTGTTATAAAAATTTATAACTGAATTAGATTTTTATTAATTAAAATTTTATTTATGATTTTTGTAAAAGCATCGAATAAAAATATTCTTGAGTTGGTTTTAAAAAGTTTACAAGAATGGAAAGCTTTAAAAAGTGTTAGTAGAGTAAAACTAGTACAATATAAAAAAATAATTTAATTTCGAAAATGATTACTTACTATTAAAAAAATTAAGATTTAATTAAAAGTTTCAGTACTTTGATTCTTGTATTACTAATAAAAATTTAAAAAATATATTTTTAGGTTCGAATTAAAGAATTTTTATAATAAGAAACTTTTATTTTTCATTGCAAATTTAATTAATTAAAAAAATTTAAAAAAATGATTTAAAAGTTTAATAAACTGGTCAGCCCGTTTAATTAAAAGGGGAAGTATTTCTACTTGCATAGAGTTCGTCACGGTGTAAGGAAATAATTTTTATTTAACCCCTGCTTGTAAAATACTTTTCCAGTAATTATTATTAAGTTAAACAAATTATTATTGAAATTTTACTTTTTTTTAATTTTAGGATTTGATTTAATTTTTTCTTTAATGGTTTAATACTGTCGTTAATTTTTAAAAATGTAACTTTTGTAGTACTTTTTATTAATAAATTAATTATACTAATATTTTTTTGGTTTCCTTCTTTTTCTTATATTTTTTTTAAAGTTTTATCTTTCAATGTTTTGCATATTTTTTTCATTAAACAAATTTAAATATTTGGTGTTAGAGAACGCACGCGATTTTGCTATGACGGACGGCGACTGGCCACTCTGCATGCGCGTTCATCCGATCCTGGAGTGGCACTACTTTGATGTCTGGCAATTTATAGATGCCTTGAAAATTCCTATTTGCTCTTTGTACGATCGCGGGTTGGTCATTTTCAACATGTAGTAATTGCTAGTAAAAGTTTATAAACTATTAATTATAAAAGCGATTATTAGTTTATTATTAATTATTATTATCAAAAGTTTATTAAATTTAATTGTGAATTTTAAATCTGATGTAAATTTTTTAAAGTTTATTATTAAATATTGATAGGAGCTTCTAATTATCAAAATTTGTTTATTTTATTAATTATAAATTTACTTTTAACTATTCATAAATATTTATATCATTTAGAAAAAGGTTATAAAATATTTATTAATCTCTTCGAACATTATAATTTTATTATTATTAAAAAGTTTATTACAATAAAATATTATACCAAATAATAAATCCTTTATGAACTTCATTTACATTTATATAATTTAATATAAGTAATAATTGCTTATATTTCTTATATAATTTTTAATATAAAAAGTATTTTTACCAAATATAATTACGAACTTTTAATTAATTTCTAATCAATAATTTTACTTTAGTGTAAATTTTTAATATAAACATGTTTATAAAAAATTAATTTATTTGTTTAATATTCTTAAGGTTAAAAAATTTATTTCTTCTTAGTTCGTAATATAAATTATTATTTATGGTAAATTTTAAAAGGATTTACTGATTATTATTATTAGATACACGTCACTTGGCAGCCGGAGCGATACACTTCCCAATCAATTTCTTAAAGATGCCTCGTATGAAAGCGGGTACAAACAGGCAAGAATGTTAGAAGATGCCACTTTAGAACGTGCTGGTAGAATTAATAAAAGTTATAATAAAACTTTTTTCTCGTAATCAAATATTCTAAAAGATTTTTTTTGTTTGCTTATAAACAAAACTTTGAGGTTAAGATTAATACTTCATTAAAAAGTTATTTATTTAAAAGTATACGTGCATGGAAGATTTAGAGTAACATAAACATCACTACTGAATTCTTTTTGGCCATTTTCATACGTGAGAGGCGCAAGCAATATAGCTTAACCTTGCTGGACTTATATAAATAAATATTGCCAGAGAAGGTGACACTATGCGAAAAGGTTTAGAACTATAGCAACGTTATAAAACTATATATATTTAAAAATTTGCGAAAAGCTTTTAGATTATAACGGTAAAATTAATTTTTTAATACAAAAATTTCACTAATTTGATTTTAAATTTTATGCTAACACAGCCGATAATTGGGTGGTATGCAAATTGTTAATAAAGTGAAAAGTTTAAAAAGACGTTTTTTTAAGAATTTAAAGCGCATATTCTTGCCAGGAACTAGAAGAAAATAATAAGTGCAGAAGTATGTTTTGATTATCCAAAGAAAAGGCCTCATTATAGTGTAGAAGGTTTATCAACACTTGTATAGAATTACTTTAAACATTAACAATAAAGAATGCTTCTAACGACAAATAACCAAAAATGGGAAAATATTCATTCAATAAGTTTGTATAAGTGGTTTTTACTGCTTTAACTCGAACACTCGGTTGTTTCAGTAAGTTCATTTTGCCAACTTCTAAAATGTACTCAAAAACTAAAGTTTTTGAGTAAATTCTTTTTAAACATTGCGGTTATGTATAATACATAATTTTTAAAAGTAAATAAAGAAAACTCTGTATTTCTTTCTAGTAATTGAATAATTATAATAAAAATTCGAAGCGGAGAACAAGTAAAGTATGATATTCGAATTAAATTTTCCGTTAATCCTTAATTATTTTTGGCTTAAACGAGTTGGTGTCAAGCTACCGAATAATGTTTCAAAAAAAAAGTTTTAAAGAGTCATAAAAAAATACCAAAAAGTTGTTTTTAACACACTCGAACTTTATAGACGGCGACAACCAATATTAGGCTTAAAAGGCTGACAACGTTAGTTTGGCACGGTTTAAAGTCATCGAGACCATTACACTTGAAATCACTCACAAATAGGCTAATTTTAATAATACGTGCCAAAAAACCACATTATCTTGTACCACTATTTTGCTTACGAGACTAGATAAAGGTTGAAACGAAGCCCAAAGTTTATACGTATTTATAAATTAATAAAATGCTTAACTTTTTCTATTAATAGCATTTTCTCAAAATAAAGATCCAGAGTTCATTGTTTGTTTTCTCTTTAATATTTATATTTATAAAAAGCAGCACAAATTTTTCTTCTAATAAATATTTATACTATTTTCATAAGTATACAAAATTAATAAAACGCTTCTGTATTATATAATATAATGAACAATAAACAATAAGAAAAGTTAATTTTTATTATAATAATTATTTGTACCACGAGGTTTATTATTTCACCGTTGAAAACTTTGCTTCCCAGTAAAAGTTAGAATAGTTTTTTCTTTTCCTTAAGAAGTATGCAATGATTCTCTATAAAAACTCGCTATTTGCATAATTCTTTTGGGGTTTCCCCTTTTTAATAACAAGAGAAGAAATATCTTTTGTTTTCGTTACTTTTGTTTTTCTTTTCATATTCATAAGAAGTCTAAAATTACAAATAAGAAAGGAGAAAACTTTATAGCAAACAAAATAAATACAGTGAAGCAAAAAGTTTATACTTCAGTTTATTAGTAGTCCACGTCGGCTGAACCCTCTCATTTATTACTGAACTTTTAATTGGCTCCAATTTTAAAGCATGATTGCCATTGGTGATATCACCAGAAAAAACTAATCGTTTATGTATTGATATTCATAACTATAGCAACAACAATAAAATAATAATAGTAATAATAATAACGTTTCTTCCTTAGCATAACCAGTTTGGCCAGCGCCTCATCTTCTTCATTTTCTGGCAGAATTGTATAATTCACGTTTTTTTCTTTCTGTAATTGCGATTGGCCAATTTTTTCCAATAACTTTCTTTTTTTTTCTTCCTTCAAAGTTACATTATAATAAATTAAGCGCCCAAAACTCATATTATTTTATTTTTGCTGTGATTCATATAAATATTAACTTATTTCTCTTCATTTCTATTTTTAATGTGTTAATTGCTTATTCTTTAGGGTAAATGAAAATAAAATTATAATTATAGAAAAAGTTAATAATATTTTTAAAACTTTTTAATATAAATTTTATAAAAATTATAATAATATATAATAATCATTAAATATAAAAAACATAAAATTCTGATAAATATTTTTCTTCACTTATTTATAATATTCATAATTTTATTAATATTATACTTTTATTAATATTCGAATATAACTTTTTTATAAATATATAATACCATTATTGAATATTTCCGTTAAAAATAATAAATATTCTTAAAATGTATTTGATCATTTAATAATTTTTTTAAATAAAAATTTACTTTTTTTATTGTTACTGTTATCAACTTTGTTGTTACTATTAAAAGTAAACATTTTCAATATATAACTACTTTTTTATAAACTTTTACAATTTTATATAGTCATATTTCTTTCTATATCGCTATTTTTATAATATTTTTATTATATATACGTTAACGTTCATTTTATTATTACTATAAGAGTTTCAATATTACTTTTGTAAAACTTCCGTTTAGTTATTTTTATATTATTACTACTATCAAATAACTTTTTTAAATAGAATAAATCCATTTCTTTATTATCATAACTTTTTTACGATATATATATAAAGTGTACTGCTGCTATAAAAAGTTTTATTAGCGGTACTCATATTTTATATTGAAATTAAATATATTATTTTCAAAAACAGTCAAACTACTACCAATAAATTTTTATATTATCATTATTTAAAAATATTCTTAATATGAAATATAATTATATTTTTACAATATTATAAAGTTATTTTATATATATATTAATTATTTAATAATAATAATAATATATAAAAACTTTTTTATTAAACTAAAATTTTTAATAATAATTAATATATAATACTTTATTATAAAAGTTAATAACTTTTATTTATTATTATTATTAAAAAAATAGTATTATTATATTTGCTTTTTTTACCCTTTCATTGATTACAATTCACTAAATATTGTTTTCTTTTAAACTTGATAAAAAAAATTTATAAGTTTTATAATAATAAATAAAAAGTAAACAAGTTAAAAAAGTTTTTAACAAAAATTATATAAAACTCTAAAAGAATCGCGAAGAAGTCGGTTGAGCGCGTAATCGTCGCGTCGTGAATCTTTAATTTCCTAAAAGAAAAAAAAAACATTCGATAACGTTCATGAATTTTTTCTTGTATTATTATCATTAAAGTTGAGTATTAGTAAAAATATATTTTATTATTAACTTTTAGTAGTTATTTATTATATTGAAAGTTCTTATATATTTATGACTCTTCGTGCTTATTTTTATATTTATTTAGTAGTATCAAAACTTTATCAAAACTTTATTATGTCAAATTTCTAGAGCTTTTATCATTTTTAATTTTATTTAAAAAATAACAGCTAAATATTTACTTTTTAAATATAAAATTTCTTAATAATTATTTTTTTACTTTTATAAAACTTTTGTCACTTTTTATTATTTTTTTAAAAATAATAATACTTTCATTATTTTACTTTTTATTTTTTATTATATACTTTTCAGCGTATTCTTTATGGATCTAAAAAAAAAAAATTAACTTTTTATTATTTTCAAACTTTTTTTTTTATAATTTGCTCTTTTATTACTTTCCATTACTTTTCTATACTTTCTATATTTAATAAATATATTATTATTTCATATATATACTTCTCTATACCGCTTATATTTATTTACTATCCATATACTTTTTAAATAAAAGTTTATAATATCTTCTACTTTCACTGCTTTTTATAATATTTCATTATAATATTTTTTAAACTTTTATATTCTTTTATTATTATTATAACATATACTTTTAATATTTCATATATATATATATATATATATATATATATATTTAGAATATTATTATTACTTTTATACGAAGTAAGGAAGGTTGGGACTTTTTCGCAACTTCTTTCTCCTGTACGTCGTGTTCAAGTTTATAGCTATATTAGTTAAAAAATAATAAGATAATAATAATAAATAATAAAACTTACAGCGCATTGGAAGCCAACTTATAACTTTCATTATCTTCTATGCTTTTTATAAATATATATAAAAAACTTTTTAACAACACTTTTACTACAAACATAAACTTCTTTTCTAAATATTAACTTTATTACATATAAATGTATATAATAGTATATATAAGAAACTTTTATAATATTTAAAATTTATTATTAATTTTATAATACATTAAAGTTTCTCATTATTTTTTAATATTTGAACAAAAATGTTATAAATATCAAAATATTAAGCGCAAAAGTAAAATAAAATATTAATAAATTTTTAAAAAATTTTAAATAATACCAAAATAATAATAAAATATATTAAAAAATATTTATAATAATACTAATAATATTCTAATAATAATCTAAAATAATTTATTTACACTATTATTATTAAATATTTTATTAATAAATAATGTCCAATATAGTAGATATAATATATAATAGTAATAGTAACTGCGTTTATAATTAAGTTTATAATATAAATAATGTAATATTAATAATAAAATCAAGAAAATAAAAATTATTAAAAAAATAAAATAGAAACTGGTTTTCTTTAACAAAAGTTAGACAATTTTATATAAAGCTAATAAAACTATACTAAATATTTCAAATATTGATGTATCAATGATATGAAAAAATATATAAATAATTATAATATTATACACACACGAAAATAAAAAAGACGTGCATATTTATAATAACGAAAAATATTTTAATATGTATTAAATAATAAATAGTAAAAGTTTAATATATTAATAAATATAATATATGATATAGTTCTTATTATTATAACTATTACTATTAAATTTCTATTTAAAAAAAACTTTAAATATTACTTTGTTCATTTACTATTATAATAAGTATTACAAATAAGAAATAATATATTAATATATAATAATAATAACTTTTTGTATACTTGTTTTCTTTATTTGCTTATATAAAATTCATTCATTTCTAAAAAAAATTAAAATTGTAATAGTTTATATTAAAAAAGATGCTTTTACTTACTTTTTTTAAAACTTTCTACTTTAACAATAATACATAGTAAAATATTATAAATAATACTATTTTATTTTTTATTATTGGTGTTAAAGTTTCTTAAACAAATGTTTTTTTAAAATTTTTCTATATAAAAGTTAATAAAAAGTTTATATATAAACAACTTATACAACCGAACAACAACGATAATAAATTTTAATTTTATTTGGTTTATAATTTTAAAAGATTAATAATAAAATAAAGTAGTAATTACAAAATCTTTTAATTTTTTTTATTAATTTTTTAGACAAAATACACATCGAAAAAGTTTTTCAGCTATATAAACTCCACAATTAAAAATGAACAGAAAAAGTATTTTTGGAAAAAATTATTATAATACTGACACAAATTGTATTTATAAATTTATAAATATATAAGAAAAAATATTTTCTGGAAATAAAAAACTTTTATAATAAAAATAGTAATAAACTGTTATAACTAATAAAAATAATGATAATCTAATAATGAGTTGCCTTGTAAAGTAATATTCTTCACTTTTTCGGTATCCCACTCTTCGATTTTTTTACGGCAGCCTTCCCCGCACACATACTGAGTGTTCTTTAAAAAAATTGAGCTTAATAACAAGCCAATAGGATATTATTTAAATAATATTGGTTAATATAAGCCAATAAAATGTTCTTATGAAAATGAAGGGTTAAAAAGCTAAGATACCACTGTAAAAAGTCTTAAGATAAAAAAAGCAAAGTAAATATCAAATGTTTCATGAATTTATAAAAAGTAATGAATAAATATAAAATAAAAAAGATAGAAATGTATATTCGTGCTCATAAAATATTCTCATAACCAAAGTTTCTTCCAAAACAATATAAAAAATTTATGAATCCAACAGTTATTAATGTAATTTTTTATAAATTTGAAAAATTTATTAAAAAGTAGTAAAATAAATATAAATTTAATAAAAAAATTAGAAAAAATATTAATTATTTTCTAACAAGTAATTTATATATACGAAATAATTGGTTAAATTTATAAAAAAAAATTCAATAACGAAATTTTCTCAAGTTACGTCTTTATAATAATAAAAAGTTTTAATATTATTATTTTTAATTAATAATGAGTTATATTAAAAGTAAAATACATTATAAATAATCAGTATAAAGTGTTCATTTGAAGTAAAAAAAATATATATTAAAAATAAATTTATTAATACAAATTAATTTGAAATAACCAAAATTTTTAAAATCACATATAAAAAAATAAATAACGTTTATTAAAAGTATTTAATAAGTATCAACTTCTTAAAAATTATAATGCTTTCATATTTTATTTAAAATTTATTAATAATTTTCAAAAATAATAAACTAATTGTTTACAAATTTTTAATAACATTCATTTTACTAATAAAAAATAAAAATACGTAAAAAAATGAAAAACAAAATTCAGCAAAATATATACTTTAATGAAAAACTTAAAAAAAAATACTATAAAAAAAATAGTAAGGAATATTTAAGTAACAAAAGTATTACTATAAATTAACTGAAGAAAAAGTAAATTTACAAAATTATTATAACTACAAAAAAAATTAATAAATGTTAATTAAAAGTATCTGAATTTGTTAATTACTCTAAAAAATATTTACTCAATAAACTTTAATTAACCTTTGCAAACTCTTATAAAAAGTTACAAAAGATTAAAAATAACTAAAACAGTAAAAAACTTGGTACAGATTATTTTTTTGTAAATCTTAAAAAGCTAAATTTAATTGGAACAAATTTACTTATAATTATTGTAATTTTAAAAAAAACAGAATTAATTAAAAAAAATTTAAAAAAAAGTGAAATCTTAAATATAAATTAGAAGTAATAAATAGTATTAAAAAAAAGTTAAATAAGAAAAATTTATAATCTAATTAAATTAAATAAATAATTAGTAATTATTACATTATAAAAATCGACAAAATTTATTAAAAATTATCGAGTAGAAATAAATAAAAATTATATTTTATAATTCAAATTTATAAAAAATTTGAAGAATTTTTCTTTGAATTAGTCTAAAATATTTTTTACTGGAAGAGTAAAAATTTCTAATAAATAAATTTTAATTTATCATAAATTATTAATGTAAAATTTCCAAATTTTAAAATAATAACAAATATCTCACAAAATATAAATACTAAAAACTAACAGTGCCAATGAAAATCTCAATAAAATAAAAAATAATTTAAAGATAAGTAAAATATTTTCAATAAAAAAAATTAAAAATTTAAAAATAAGCCTTTTTAAGTATATATAATAATAATTTTTCTTAATAATAAAATACTGATTTATACAATAACTAAAGAAAAGTAAATAACGTTAGAACCAAATTTCGCTAATAGTGCTTTTCAGGTTTATATTTCTACTATAATTATTACTATTTCTTAATAGCAGATCACAAAAACTATAATATTTATAAACTTTGCGAAAGATTGATTAATCTACTAGAAAAAGTGTAACGAATTTATAAACACGAAATTGCAAAGTTTTTAACTCCGTAAGGGCTATAAAGCCTTCTAGAAAAAGTTAAATAGAAAAGATACTTTACGATAAAAGTTTATATGAATTATAAATAAGAAGTATGCAACAACAGGCCCTTCTAAATAATTTAAATTTCCTATAAGGTTCGTTATCCTACAAAAAAGATACTATTTTGTCTTTACAACTAAGAATTTCTTATAAATAGTATTAAACTTAGACATATAACTGTTTTTCCTTTAAAATTATATATGATAAAAGTAAATATATATTTACAAATATAACTAATTACAGCTAGTATTAAGAAAAGTTTAAAGTAATTACTTTTGGATCTGTATGAATTTCAAACCAATTGGGACACTCGTGACACTTCATACGAAAACTATAAATGGGAGTCGAAAAATAGTTGCCGATTTTTTTCTTTTCGGCGTTGTAACGAACGCCCATAGCAAAAGTTTTTTTGCATCCTTAAAAAACAATAATTAAATATATACTTATGAAAAAAAGTATAAATATTATTATAATCGTTTACCTAAGCACCAAATCTTGTAGGGCAACTCAAAGCGAATGATTAAGATGCCTTGGTCTAACTTCCTTGCCCTTTCCCGGAGTGGATGTTGTCCTCTATACTTATTAATAGATCCCTAATAATATAATATTACAATTACTTTTAAGAAAATAAATTTGGTAATAAACTCTACATGTTTCTGTGGATCGTAATCCGGAGGCATATACTTGTTAACTGCCTTCCTTTCGGCCATTATAATTAATATTTATAACTCTTCAATAAATTGTAATCAGTATTGTAATAGAAAAGTACTTAGTATCCCTAAAAAAAATTTGAAACCAAAGAAGTGAAACTATTAAAGCTCATATATCGAAGCAGGAAAGATCGTTTATTACAAAATGCCAGTACAAATAAATTCACATCCTAATTGGATAGCATAATGTACTGTTTCGATATAAATGTCACAGTACCTAATTAGTAAAATGCCTCAGTTTAACGACAACACGTGCGTAGTTTTTCACCATGTGGATGTCCTGTCCCAGCGATTTTTCTTTATCTGAAATGGTTATATACGGTTCGCCTTAACTAGTCCTATATTTGCCTCTTAACGCTTATATCGTTTATTTATCCATAAATATATATTATTTTATACGTTTTTTTTTCTATCTATTCTAGATTAAAATATACATTTCTACCCTTATATGAGAGCGAAATATTGAAATTTTCATTTACGCGTGTTTCTCTGATTAACTTTTGGCGGTCTGCTAACTAGGAATTCTTTACATAACGTTAGTCTGTGGTATCTTCTGGGGAGAATAACGATCACGAGCATTTGTGACCCTTACTCCCAACCATTTAATCGATCAACTTCAAAAGTTAATTTAAAGAAAATAAGTAAGCTCGAGGTTTCTCTCTTCTTGCACAGTTTTGCTTGCTTTTTGTTATTTTTTGTTCGGCGGAGGCGCACTTAGTTGTAACAGTGTCATTGAAACCATTATTATATATATTGAATTTATAAAGTTCTTAGCTGCAAATAAGGAAATATATTTATTTTATTTTATTATAATTAAGTCAGAATTATAAGCCCCTTGGTGTTGTTTACTACAGGTTCACCTCCTTTGTGTTATTCCCTTCTCATTTATATTATTCCTAGATATCTGATATATTATCTTATGACGTATTTAGCACACAAAAAAATCCAGAATCTTCTAATTAAAAGGAATGTACAAAGAGGGCATATTAGCAGCAAGATAAAAAAGCATTGCCTTCTGATAATACTAAAAATATATCGTTCTGGGGTTAAAAGTTTTTTATAAAAGTCTACATCCCAATAAACTAGATAAAATAGGCAGGTCCTAATATGAGCCACCTGAAGGATGCAACACAGTCGGTTTGTGATATATCTAAGACACGATCCCCTAAATTTACAGAAGAAAAAAACTAAAAAAACAAGTTTGTTTCATTTAACGGGAAATTAAAGATATACAAGGCAATATCCTTTAAGTTAAAGATATAAGTAACCTTATCAGCAATAAGCAATTGGATATAAGAACAAAGTTAAAAGCCCAATGTAATAAAGAAGGCTAAGTGATCCTAGAGAAAAAAGTTGCGATATCTGTTAGGCCCTTAATCATTTGAATACGTAATTTCCTGGTTTTAATATTTATAAAGAATAGCCAAAAGCTTAAAAAACGTCCCCGTATTTACTTCTGAGTTCTTAAGGGGCCGAACTAACTATTAACGTACGGGGCCAGAGTAAGACTTAGCACTCTCTTTAGAACTTTTGTTTTTAATTTCACTTAATTGTACTTAGCAAGGGGTGTATACAGTGATAGCTATTTTTTTCCTAGACAACTAATGTTTATTCGACCTCCTGTTGTTTCTCTGTCTTATGTCTATCGCTTTTTTAGAAACACGCTACTGTTTGGGACTTTTTGGGTCAAATATAGTGTAGAGTCGTAGAGCTTTCTTAACAAAGTGATAAAAGCGGGAGAAAAAACAACTACAGACGTAGAATTAAGAAAAATAGCAGTTTTTTTAGTTCTAAAAAAATGGGAGGTGTGACGAAATTTGCTCTCCGTGAGCTTTTAGAGCGGATTGAACTCCATTGGTTAGCGTGCAAGCAAAGTAGAACCCATTAGTTTCGTGCTAAAGTTAAATGAAAGGATGAACTTATATATGTAACTATTAAGTAGCCCGGCTACACCTCAATAAACTGCATTGCTTACGAAGACGTGTAAGAAACTCCAAAGCAGATTCAAGTCCTTCCAAGGCCATTATTGAAGTTAACGAAGAAAGACAAGCGCTTTGAAGGAATTTTTATATAAAAACTTTGCGCAAGATTAATACTTTATTTTATAAGCTCAAATAGTGATGTTTTGGTTAAATAGTTATAATCTACATTAATTGATAATAACACATATAATAGGAAACACAGCATGAGTAAGCCTTTCACTCCTTAAACCACTTAAATAAAACTTTTGTTAGCATTTATATATAATTTAAAAATATTTAGCTTTATACGAAATAGTTGTTTCTGAATAACCTGAAAGCCAGCTTTTTCTTAAGGTCATCAAACCAATATAGAAACCCTTCAACAGAAGTAGTGGGTATAACGTAACGTCTTCGTTATATTTAATATTGGGGTGTCTGAAATGTCTTCAATTGAAGTCTAAAAATAAAATAACTTCACGATATTCGAGAGAAGACTAATAGACAAGCGCCTTATAGCATTCAGCTAAAGCCGAAATAGATTCTAACTTTGTGTCAGTCAAAGGAGATAACTCCTCCCATCTAGCGTATAGCCCTTGGGAACTATTTTAAAAACTTCCTTTTTTTTTAATGGGAATAGGGTAAAAATTTTATTTAGAGGAGTAAAGGTTCGCCTTCATCCTTGTACACCAATTTTTGATATAATATTCTTATCTTCTGCTTTGAAAAACACGGCTCTACGACCAATACTATTGAGTTCAATGGGTTATATTTGAGGCTTGTGGAGAATCACTATGGCACTTTCTTCGGACTTCCACTGTTCGTCGCTATATATTTGTTGTAAACAAAGCTTAACCTTACGACTTTTTTCTTTCTTTCTACTAGTTTATTAAGTCTAGTCATGTTTTCTGTGCAACTAAATGTTCTCGCTGGGATAAGTAGTTTGGTGGCCGTAGTTATTTCTAAACGTCTAATATGTGGACATTTAAAGTTTTACAAGTCTCCGGAAAAACAAAAAAGAATTGTCAGAATTCTATTAATTGTCCCCTTATACTCTATAAGTTCGTGGTTCTCACTAAATTTTGTCTCTGTAAGCTGTTTAACTTGTTTATAATAAACAAATCTGTTATACTTGTGTTTATAAGTTTCCTCTCCTCTTTTTTTACTAGTTTTTTTTCTTATTAAAGGCGTCCCTTTATTTCGACTTTACTCGAGATTTGTACGAAGGATACGGTTTATATCAGTTTTTTCGACTATGCGTTTCCTATCTCGGTGGCGAGTACGAGGTAGAAAATCTTTTTCGACAAAGGTCAGCTGTAACTCCTTTTTGGCCCCTATATCTCTGTTTACGTTCTATTAAAATAAAAGAAGGTTTTTACCTTTTTCTCAAAAGAGGTAGTTATATTGTATGAAAGAGTGTAGCTTTTCTTTACAACTTTTTTGCATCCCTTTAAAGGAACTTTGCAGTATTGCTTGGTAAAACCTCTCATGACTATTTGTGCAATTTTCCTGCAAAGAAAGAACCGTTACTGTCCTGGTAATTGGAATCTTCGGTGTGGTTATGTATGTTTATTCTCTATCTTTTTTTTTTTCTAATTTTTGACCAAGCTAGGTTTTTATCTAGTTCACAACAGTAATCTGTTCATCTTGTTCTTAAAAAATGTGCAGGTTATGTACGCATGTACCTTGCGCGGTTATATATGTGTAGTGTAAACTATAAGAATTTATATTAATTCAAGTATAATTTGTTTGTAATACTTTGATACTTTTTTAAAAGCTTTTTTTTATATAATATTTTTATAAAACTTAAAGTTTTTTCATTCTTTCAATCTTAAAATATACCTAGTATTCTTTGATATGGATTTAAATTATTTAACTATGAAATTATAATGCTAACCAATTGACGTTTTTAAGTTTAAAGAAAAAAATCAGTTATATCTTTAGTTTATGCACTATTAGATTTCTTTCAGATTTATTAAAAATAAACTGCATGTATATATCTTGACATTTTCGTAAATTCCGTAAGAAATCTCGCTGGTGTAGTCCCGTTATACTAGCAATAGTATGAATTTAATTTTTAAGGTCTGTCAAATAGTTACTATGCTTTGACTTTTTGTCCTACTTTTTGCTCCTTCGCATTCTCCGCGGTCGCTATTACTTATTTTACCAACAGTTTTTAATATTTAAATCAATTCTAGTAAATTTTATTTTGGCCATATTTTCCTACGATTAACCATATTACTTTTTTTTTTTATCAATTAATTTTTTAGTAATCAAATATTATTTTTAGAAAGTACGAGAGTCCTGCCTTTTTATAAAGATTTGTTAATAATTTCTCAATGTAAACTATATTTAGTTTCGTTGAAAGTCCAGCCTGTAGAGTATTTATTACTATTATTATTTCATTAGATTTATCTCTCAACAATAAACAATTCAAGTATTACCTTCTCACTTTGCTGCCTTATATTGTTTTATCACGCGACATCTGTGGAGCTCAAGCCGTGGAATCCTTTAGGGAAATTTTTATGCGTGAAGGCTGTACTGTTTTTTTCCTACTGGCAAGGTCCCTTGTAAAATACTCTTGAGCTTTTATTATAACTACTTCTCTTTAGGCGTTCTTTTTTCACTGTTAACTTACTTTTGCGCAATTCCGAGTCTCTGCGCTCGCTCTCACGCTTTCCGAGATGCAGCCGCTGAGTTTCAAAATCTTCTTATTTGCTTTGAAGTCGTTGGCGCCGCTCTTGCATTTTACTTAGTGTTTCATTATAAAGTATTTTTGTATAAATGTTTCCGATCAACGACCAAATAATTTTTTTTAAAAGGATTATGCTCAGCTGCCAGATCCCAAGCTGAGTTTTATACAAGCAGCGGCTGATGCTTTTAAATTTTGGGATATACTATACGATATTCAAACGGCTTTCAATATTTTACCGTCTGAATACCAAAGAATTAATTAGAGCGATAGAGCCACTTTATTGCTCAAGACTTCTTTGTTCCTAAATTACACTCTTATTTGGTGGCCCGGCGCTCGATCTTTGAAATTCTATAAAATTTTTGATTCGCACTTTATTTAAATTCTTTGTTAAGTGAACTATTAACTACATCTTGACCTCTTTTTCTTTTCAAAGGATACTCTTAGGGGATAAAAATGATTAGAAATCAACTTACTCTATTATTTAAATTTATTGGTGGGCACTGGTTATGAAAAAAAAACACTGGTCATTATACGTATTTCTTTTTCATAAAAAAAACTTTTTTTGAGGGCATATGGGGATATATTAAGATAGGCAAGACACTTCACAGGTTAAGTAGTAAAAAACATTTTGGCTTTATAATATTATAGTTTCTTTCAGCGTAATGACCATAAGGTTTTTTTTTAAACTGCTCAATTGTAAGGAAAGTTATATTGCCTTGTTATTAAGAAATTGTAACGTATAAGAGATTTGTTTATTTATTCTTAATACTATACAGAAAGGACACAAGTGGGATGGTTAGACATAGAGCATTGGTTTAAATTTCGGGAGACAGTGGAGCCAGTAACAAAGGCGAAGAGATTTTTAAGCAAGGCGGCATAGCCTTATTCCCAGTGAAGTAGAGCGTAATTTTGACATTTTAGAGATCCCCATAATTGAACTGTAGCGTTTTCTCCTCCTATCATATTTAGATTATCCCAGAGGGATTTGACAAACTTTGATATCCTAACCATCGTACCCAATGATTATCTTATCTGTAGGTCATAAACACATACTTAGCGTCTATAATATGAATAATGCCATCTCATTAAAAAAGGGGTGGTACTGACCTATATACGCAATCTACAAATTCTAACTTATTTCTACCAGATTATGTAAAAAAATTTAGAACAGAAAGATTATTAGAAAGTCTTTATTTATAAAAGCAATATGACTTCAAAAAATAGCTAAACCTCCATCCCAAGTAAAGGGGGAAACTAAACAAAAACAAATTAAAGCCAAAATAACTTAAAACCACTAATAAATTAATATAAAAATCTGCGACAATTTTTAATAAAAAAGTAGCAGATGTATCCCACAGCCGAAGACTAATATAAAGCAAAAACCTTTGTACATAATCTTTTGATACAACGTAAACTAAACCACCTCAGCTAGTAAATTACACTATAGGGTCGACCCCTGTCTCTTAACCTTTACCCACAGAGTATGCGATTCATAGCACAAAAACAAAAATTAAAGATAGTTATAACTCATAAAACTATGAAAACAATAAGAACCGAGGGGATCTTTAACAATACCAATTGTTACCAGCCTTTCAAGGAGCTACTAAGACCATTTAAAACATACTCTCAAAATGTTTAAAAATATAATATGCTTTTGTTAACCTATTTAGCGAGAGTGTAAAGAACTATCGTCCCGTTATCCTACTACTATACTTAGAAAAGATGGCGCAAGGACCGTACTTGAATGAGTTAAAAATATCGAGTTAGAGGTGTAAATTCAAACTTCTAGCTAGGGCTATGTAAAGGTCACTCCTAGCAACAAAATTTAAGCTTACAAAGCACACTGCAAATACTTTTCGTTTAAAAATTAATCATATCTTTAAGTGTATATTTGCGATTTATGTACAGAAGCACGAAAAGTATCAATAAAAAAAATTTATTTCAAAGTTTTATTATCAGCATTCATTAAGCGGCCTTCAAGTTTAAAAAGAAGCAAGAGCGGTAGCCAACATAACGGGACCCACCACGGCAATAACTAAGCCGCCCATGAATTTAAGTTAAAAGCAGGTCTTAATTCAAAGTATAGACCGGATATTTCAAGGCATTTATCTACTGTAAAGTTATTCGAACTTACAACGGTTAAAGTACATTTTTTAGAATAGTAAAGAGTAGCTATTTTAGATGGTGCATTACACGTAGCACTATAATCAGCCCCAAAAGCTGTGCATGTAGTTGCTTTTAGCTTTTCCATCCTTGCAGTCTTTGCTAGTACAACCCTCTTAGCCGACTTGAAAGGGATATTAGCCAATAGATGTGCATGAAGAACTTTCTGAAAACGGTATAACTTCTAGTTTTGCAACCTACGGAATAGTTAAAAGTAGCATATTTAGCCGTTTCGTCGCACGTAGCAGAACATTTTTTCCCCAGAGATGAACAAGTTATTTTATCCGCTTTATCCTCGCAGTCTTTATCAGTAAAAGATTCAGTCCTCTGGATAAAATATTTACCAAAAGGGGTGCCTGTTTTTTCAATCGTGCAAGCTTCAGAAGTATTACTAACCTTTTCGGTGTAATACCAGTAATCATTGTTTATTTAATTGGATAAGAGGCGGACTCAGAGCCATAAAGGTAAGACTTCACTATTTAGAAACCAGAAATATTAGAAAATTTTAAACGTTAAAATCTAATTAATAGGCTATTAATATAGTATGTTAAATGACTCTAAAAATCTTGTGAACTCATTTACTTAGTAGGAATGAAGATAGAAAGCAAAAGCCGTTTGTCAGGAAAAGAATATTTTTAACTATATTTAGTAGTCATTTGAAAAAAATATTCTAAGGGCGCATTTTTTATTAAGTGGAAGAGGGGCCTTATCAAGGATAATTTGAAAAATTTTAATATAACTATTTATAATCTAAAGTAAATGAAAGCAAGTTGTGATCCCTAAGCCATAGCTCCTTTAATTGGCTTAGAGTAGAATTTTTAAAATAATTAATGAAGTTAAACTTCTTCCCACAAATAAATTAAATAACTATTTACAAACCGAAACTAAATAAATTTAAACTCTAAAACTAAATTCATCTAATTATTGTGCTAAGTGTTGTATATACACAAAAAAGGTTTTTTGCTAACTTGCACTGCAATTCTTTAAGCTATTACGCCAAAAAAAATTGTAATTTGATAGATATTGCTCTTATTATTACCTATTAACTCTTTTTAACTATTAACTGCTAGTTTGAACACAATAAAAAACCCTATTAGCAAAGTTAAATTACATGGTTAAAGTAAGTTACCCCTTTCAATTAGGTAATTAGTTAAAATATGGTATAACTTTGTTTAAAAAAAAATTAAAGTCAATTTTCAAGTTACTAGACTTATCGCAGTCGTTATCACATAACATTTATAACTCCTCTTCATTTGTAAAAAGGCCATACAAGTATGTGACTATCTTTATATCATATATTGAACTTCCTTTTATAATTCTTATATATCAATATTATATTCTTCTTCATTTTTATCAAAATTACTACTTAATATTAAACCTTTTATTAACTTAAGGACCTCAAGTCTAAAGTTGCCTTAGTCGGCCCCTCTACCATTATAGAAGAAGAGCAACAATCAGCTTATTCTTCTTTACCACAAACTCATTTTACTCTACAACAACTGAATTCCGGCCCTACTATGTTTGTTTATCCTCGCTTCTGGAAATAAATTACTTTTTTCAGTAAACTATAAGGCTGGATAAGCCTGGTTAGCCTGTGGAGGTCCTTGTTTAACTGGGCTATAGTGTTGTTCTTGCATTCCACTTTGTCTCGACCAATTTTTGGACTTAATACATTGCTGTCCGTTATGTGAAGCTGTTATCAGAACACGAGAGAGAATACAATTTTTCTAGCCTATATCATTTTATTATTATAAACAAAAACAAAATTTTTTTTTTAACCAGTTACCTTCTAATAGGTTAACCACATCTCTCTTATAAGGTACAGCGCCTCGATTGACTTAAGCAAATTTACATACGTATGGGTAAAAATGGTGACTCAGGTTTTGATAGTCGTTATTACGCTTGAAATATTTCTAAACTTTCGTAGAATAAGGTACAAAGCCTTTTAAAGCTCTTAGAAATATACATAAAAAAATTTTTATAGCGATTCATTTACCTATTGGTTAGAGCTAATAGGTTATCTAAATTATTGCGGTGATTGGTAAATTATAGAAATAAAAATTTAATAAACAAAAATAGTAGCCATCAGTTAAAGAGGAATAAAATTAAAAAAGACTCCACAGGTAAAAGATATAAAATAGAAGTAGAGCCAAAATTTTATAGACTTGGCTAGTGATAATAACTAATTGTGTGGTAAGTCATAATATTTAGTTGATCTCCTATCCTAACAGTTTTTTCGTCAAAATTCTTTAGCTAGTGTAAAGCGGTCAGTTATTGTAAAATTGTAATGTCTACGAAGTCTCCTAAGGTTATGCGAACATTTTTTTTTCTATGACCCTCTCTCAATAATCTGCTATATTAAATTTACTAGCTAATATTTAAGTTTTCTAAATATCTCTACACGATATAGATTGTACACCAGCAGGAAGTTTGTATTTTTTACAAATAACATACTTTTTTTTTATATCAACCTTCAATCATACTTCATAATGTTTCTCTTTACCAAAGGTAAACCCTGACAAGTTTACCAAAGTCGTCACATTACGTTAAACAACATACTATTTTAAAATTAAATTCTAACTAAAAAGTGATTTGTGTCGTAAGTTAATCTATTATTTTTAATTAAAACACTACAATTAGATAATAATATAACAATAGTTCTTCGATTTGCTCTCAGAAATATTGTTTATAGTTAACCGATTTCGGCAAACTCATAGGCGAACAGTATGTCTCTGGGTAAAAAGTCCCAATAGAAAGGGCGGTTTACTCTCTTAAGCACTTTTGTAAAGTGTTATAAACTTAATAAATTAAACTTTAGGCAACAATGTGGCTCTCATCACACGCACAACCCTTAAAACGAGGAAAAAGAAATTTTATACAGATAAACTCTCAAAAGACGTTACAACCACAAAAAAAAATTATAAAAAATTTTGATAGCAAGATAGACATAGCATAACCACAGTTGAAAATTAGAAAGGTGCATTCTCATTTTTAATATGCATATTTTTTAAAATAAATAATTTAATATTTATCTATAAGTTTCCTTTAAATAACCACGCATTATTACAAGTATTTGTCGATAATTTAGCAATCATTACTCATATTTGACCTGGTAAATATAGCTGCTTTACACTTACCAATAACAAAATGAATGGGATAGTTTAGAATTCTGTAGTAGCGGGAGTAATATCTGCGGGAAACGAAATGTTGTTCAGTTTTAATATAGCCACGACTCCGAATATTTGGTCGCCTTGCAAAAGGCTTTATACCTACCTTGAAAGTATCTTTATGGTATTTCTTAGCAATATTGGATTGCCCTGTACAAGGACACTCTTCTTTTTATGGGCATAGTTAAGTTAGTCCTTGGCTCATTAGTAATTAAAGGTTAGTGTTTGTGTTAATGTAGGGATACCACATTTTAAATAGTCATTATTAATAAGTTAAACGCCTAATACTAACGCCAAAAATGTAAATGTAATGTAATGATACTTTCTTAAGTCAGTATTATGCTTACTTATACATATTATCAACTTCAATGTTAAGCTAAATTGCACACATTTAAAAATAGATATGCAACTAGAGCCTTCTCGAGCTATATCATTAAAGAAGGCATTACTGACACGGCGAAATAGGCACAAGAACGTAACATTGCCGTTTGCAAAGCGATGAACTCTGAAGGATGAAATATTTTGTAAAGGGGTTATACAATAAACTGAAATCATAAAATAATAAGAAAAGGGTTATTTGAACGCTCCAACCTCCGCGAAAAACGATGCAAAACTAAAGTGTAGAGAAATTGATTACCGTTAATGCTTATCATTAAACATTTGAAACACTTTCTCCTTTGACATAACATTCAATCTTTAATAGCTCATTGACGAAAAATAAAAGTAGCCTTCCTTTCCTAGGCGATTAGTTCAATTACACAAAGTACTTACTGCTTAGGAAATTCTCTCTTAGATTTTTTGTGCACAATAATGAACTAGGGTAGTAGGAGCAACTTTAACAAAGCATCACTTACCTGCAGAGAGTTTGATAATGAACTCGTGCATTATAAAATGGTTTATAAACGAGAGGGCTACTTGTTTGCATTATAAAACTTGCTTACTTTCGAATTATTAGTAAAATATCATAATAGTCAATATCATTGTCGAACTGTAAACTTCCTTGTTCAATAAAAAATCCTAATTTCTTAAAAGCTGCTCTGATCCAGCCAATAGTACTTACTTTGCAGGCAACTGCCATAAACTTTCATGATTGAATTAGAAATACCTGTGCTCAAGCTGTTCGTTGGTTAAGTAATGAAGCCAGCAAACTACGAAATGGTTTGGACACCGAGTCTTTAAGAAAATTAATGATCAATATTTCGAACTTTTTTTCTACGCAATTTTCTTACATGCTCAGACTAGTTATGTGTTACTCTCCTCGGTCGAACATAGAACAGGGTAGAATGATTTAGTACTTAGTCCGGCTTAAATAAATCCTTTAAATCTCATGAGTGAGGTTTTTTAATAAAACTAAAACCATCGTAGAATTTACAAAAATAGGTATACCAAAATGATTAAGAAGTTATTGCAGCATATAACATTGAACCGTGCGAGCCCCCTTCTTCTAAAGGAAGTGCTAATAAAATTGCTCAACCTCATCTAGAGAACAGGAATAACCCGTCATTTGCCAAGTATTGAACCTCTCGTGCCGTGCAGGATCTATTCCCAGAGAACATGCTACTAACAGAGACCCTTTTTCTAACTGACAATAATCTTGGTTTGACTTTGCTCTTAGTTATATCTTTGTAAGCATTCTCAATGGTGTACAATCACTAACACCTAGATAACTCAAAAAGATCTACTAAAAAAATTATACAACAGAAAAATTTACATGAAACTACACTTAATTTTTAATAGTTAAGCTCTGCAAAAAAAACGCTATATAAAAGCAACAGAAACTCTACTCTAAGATTCCGCTGCTCTTTCGCCTTGAGTAACTCGATCTTTGCTTAAACATCAAGATTTAAAGACTCAAATAGAGCAACGTTGCAGCGAACCATCTATCCTGCGTTTTAGCAAAGCAATGTAAGCGTGGAGCTGTCATTATAGATTTGCATTAAACCGGCAGCTATATTAGTACTTCGGCTAGTTACGGACTAATAGGTTTTAGTGTTAATTGAAAATAACAATCATGCTCGTGAATTTTTTTTTTGGAGCAATCTTCTCTGGGTAACGTATTGTACGTGTTTAAGATCGAACCAATAGTAAAATTTAGAGACCTCTTTCAACAAATGACTCCGTAGTTTGCAAGCTATAAAGGTAGTACATTTAGATAGCCATTTGTGGGCAGATTATTGGTAGAGCGTATGTTATACTATCATTGTGAGATGGTTAATAACCCTCTATTTTATAAACTGCTTTCCCTGTCTTTAGTTGAAACTATAGAGTAAACTACTGACTTGTGCTTTAAATTGTATCTGAACTTTAAAAAAAATAATCAAACACAGTACATCGTGAATATGTTTACCTAGCCTTAGCTCGTATTAAGAAAGGATATGTAGATACCATAGAAAGCCGTAGGCGATAATGGACTGTTTTTTTATATACAAAAGTTCGCACGATAACAAGTGCTTTTAATAATGATAAAAAGGTAAGTAAACGGTATCACTTATGGAAGGGTCCTATCTTACCTTCGAGTTGTATCTTTAGGCTCCTATGCTACAATTGATGATATACAGGAGATATTACCCCCTTCTCATCTCTAATCCTCTACATTGACACAACTTCTCTTATCTATCGGCTGGTATAAGTATTAGTAATTCCAATGGAGAGCTAATTGGGTTACTAGTATGAGTAATACGAAATAACACTTTTGACATGATAAACTAGTTGTAAATTGACTGTGTTATATATGTATATATGTATAGTTTTGTATGAAATGACTGTTCTACTCAGTTGGTATAATAACATTATGTAACGAATTTGACCACAAGAATAGTGCTTACTTCATATATCTAATTTAGTATAGTAAAAAGTTCGAAGTAAGTACACAGTAGACAATAGTGCTATTTCCTAGTGTTGCTTAGGTAAAGTTGACACCAATCTACCCCTTTGGAACTAGCGTAGTCTTTCCAAACATTTTGCTCCAAAATGACGATCAAAGAAGGGGTTAGGATAAGTCGAAAAAGAGAAAATATTCTCTATCTTTTTCTTCCATTGAGTTTTTTTTTTTGTTCTACGTTAGTAGAACTTAATGAGCAGCTGGTGAGTGCTCGTTAGTTAATTCTACTAACCTGCTTTCTAACGAAAACTAAAATAGAAGAGTTAGAAATAGGAACATTCAAATCAGGAAGTAATTAGTTATCAAGTATTTGGTGGTGGTTTTTTTAATTACAACTTACTGTCTCTGAAATGGATCAACAGAGGAAAAGACGATAAGTAATGCATACAAAAAGGACTTAGTATTGAGAACAGTCTATTAGCTGTGAGGCGACAGTGAAGTAAACCCTTGATCATCAACACTACCTGCGCTCACTTAGCACTCTCGTCTAAGGAAGGTTTGAACTAGACCCTCAAGGGAGAAGGAAATAGAATATGGTAATGCAAAGGTGTATCTGTCAGTAGTACCTTGCCTTTGACTTTGTTAGTCAGCCTATGATTAAAGAAATTGAAACTCAATCCATCACTAACACTAACTCACTAGAGTTTAACATAGTATTTGAAGGTTAGTGTCCGTGATTAACAGACGAGAAGCTTCCTTATCTCCTGGGAACGAGAATCGGTTTCCCTGAAAGTAAGGAAGTAGATAGCTTCATCTTTTCTTAACAAAGGCGAGATAGGTAACTGGCATTAGTAATTAGAACGTGAGGGGTTCAGCTTTGGTTAAGATGACTAAGCATAGTAAGATAGTTAATGAACAGATTAGAAAAGAAACAAGTGGTTCTAAACTTTTTATTGAATGAATGAAATTGATGTTTTAAAATTAGTAAGCTAAGCCCTCTGATTTAACATCAGTTTACAATTTCTGGGTAATAGGCAATAGTCAGCTACCTTAACAAGAGTAGGTATATAAAGAGACAAAAAGCTAGGATATATTCAAGATTGTAATTTCTATCTTGAGTTTGGATCGATGTAACTTAAACCTGTTAGGAAAAAGGAGCTATATCTTGTAGAGGTTAGCAGTGAATTACTCCTCTAAATAATAAACAAAGTAATTACTGGCACACGAGGTCCAATAATCGAACTACACTACAAAAATGCAAAGTCCTCTCCAATCGCCTAAAGCCAGTAGCTTTAGCCAGCCAGTATAAGGCTATTTTAATTATTATCTTAATTTATCTCACGACATTTAAGCTAATGTTCCCAAGATAAGCTTCTTTACATGATTAAATACCCAAGATCCAAAATACAATCGAGGCTGATAAATAAAAAGTTGTATTCACTGCTGAAAGATTGATGAAAGATTCTACTTAATTTAAACGTACTATCTTCCCTTTGACTAATGTCTAATACCGTCAATGAACTAAGAGGTTAATGATATTTAACTAGTAATTACCTAATCTAAGCCTAAGTTTATGTTTTAATTGTTCACTGTTACAAAAAACTTCTTCATTTATAATTTAGGCCTGATTGAAAGGCAGTAGTTTTAAATGGTTCTCGATGGAGTAGTTGAGCTTTATAACCTTAGGGCTAACTTGTCAATGGGTTGGAGGTACTCTCTTAGAGTAGGAGGCCTTAGGGTGATTTAGCAAAAGAGCTGACTGACACTTGGTTAGAATAAACTTAGTTATTTAGCGGACTTAGAATCAGTTATACTATAATATGTTGTTAACTACTTGCATAACTTTTATTTAGCTTACAACAAACTACTCCTTACTAACCCTCGTTTTGTGCACCAACTAGTATTAAATTTACTTGATTAATACTTATACATTTTACAGTGGGATATATGGTTCCTTAGGAGCTTATCAAATTCTAAAGGTAATTAGTTCGAGCGAACGCACGAGGGTCAACTATATTACTGCCTAGTATGCTAAGTGCTGAAGAAAGACCTATTTCAGAGGAAATTATCTCTGCGCTTGGGACGAGTGGAACTTCAGGGAAAAGCCCATTAGTACTAAAATACGCCTGTCATGGTTACGATGGGGAAAAATTAGTAAGAGCGCTGTCCCCCATTAACCCTACAGTAGTTGTTCCTCTTATTTAGATATTAGTAGTCACATAGTTCTGCAGATCCCTTCTTGAGTTTTAAATTTTTTACTTTTATATTAAATAAAAAATATCGTAAATTTTTGAAACTTGCTGTTTATTGAGATATTAGGATACAGGACACACTAAACTTTAACTTCTATCTAATTTAAAATTTAGAAAAAAAAGTAAATTCCAGATCTGTGAGACCCTCCCCGACTACTATAGGGTTAAAAATGTGACAAAAATAAATGAATGCCTTAACCATTTGAATAATAACACTATAAAGTAATAATTAAGGTCGCCAAATATCATATATGAGAATAGAACAAACGCTTACAAGTCTTAAATCTCGTTTCTTCGACAATCCTTTGGGGCCGTTAAACCTTTCAGCTACTGCGATCACCGCCAGGTACGTGGTGGAGACCCTTTGAAGATCCATGTCAGCGGTGCAGGTTGAGCTCCAAATAGGAAACTTAGCTTTCGTGTTAGTTCGTACATTCTTCATATAAGTATTGACCGTTTTCTTGTCTCCAGGTGCTTTTCGTAAAGAGACCTAAAGGGATAGGCCCTTTAGTAAAATCTGGCGGTTCAGCTGACCGGTAGTCTTCGACGACTGGCTTCGTATTCCGCAAGATGAACGTTGTTCTGATCGGCTAGCCTTCCGAGAGGGTACAAGGTTGTCACAGCCTGAGCGGGCGATGCTTAAAACCCTCTTAATAAACTGCTTTTCTTGGCTTGAGCTGAATTTTCCACAGTAAACTTTCGTTCTATCTTGATATTAACTTTAGGGGAATAATTAAACACAGTTCGTCGTGAGTTTGGTTGCCTTCCTCGATGAAATGGTGATTGAATGGAATGGACATTGACCTCGGAGAAGCGTAGGTGAGAATGGACTGTTTTAATCGACCACAGTCCGCTCGATTCGTAAGGATACCTCTTAAAACTGGTATAACCGGTTGTTAGCTTGAGATTTTTATAAGATCCTATCCTTTAGCCCCCTTCATGTAATGAAGAGTCATGGCAATCTTGCTCTTTCTGCTTCCTTACTATCTTTTTCTTAGCCATTCTCTTGATCCGTCGTTGGCACTCAAGTTTAAGCGGCCCGCCCTCTTGACCTGGAGCTGTCTTACCCCTGGATCCGGTTGATCCATTGAAATTAATTGGGGTTGGGAACCACGGCTACGTTGTTACAATTCAGAAAAGTAAAGTGAATAGTTGCGGACGAAGGTCTGGGTTCTTCTAGTTGTATCGGATGAGTGGCATGGCTTACAACACTACTGGTACTTATTCTCGGTATACTCTAATTCCCTAGTTGAAACTGTTGTAACATGTGTATAGTTCTATAAACAATATTATGTCGTATCATATTATGGGGGTATAAGTACTATCTTGATCTCTCTATAAAGGTACCTTTCTCACTTGGCTTCATATCGAAAAGTTAAGTTTTAGTGTCCTTTTGAAATTTATTATTAGTGCTTACTTCTCTTGCTATGGTACAATTGTCGTATAGTTCTATATAAGGTTACATATACCGTAGTGTTATTTCCTAATATATACTATATTGAAGCGCGAGCTCGTACTTTAATATCGCTTTAAATACTTTTTCATTGGGTGCGAACTTTGTAAAGTAATAAAGCTGACATGTTTTACGAATAATACAAAAACTATAAAAAGGGTTTGACTCTACGTCAGGAATACTGCCATATTTATCATAAATAATTTCAAAAATTTTGAGCTCTCCCCTTTTACAAATGGCCTCACTTTCTAAGACTTTAGGTTCCGAACTAATTTGGATACTCGACAACTTAAAAAATTCAGGTTTAAGTTTTAAAGATCTTTTAACTAGTACTCGCGCAATGCGCTGTACGAGGGTAGTAACACCATAAGCCAGGTAATAATTAATTTACAGCTAATTATTAGGTCTCTCGGATGTTTTGCAAGGTGAAAGGCTTAACATATACCGTCGCTGTCTTAACAATTTATTATAATTAGGAGCACTCAGCTCCCTAAAAATAGTATTTGTTAACTGGCAGTTTGACGACCAAGTAAACTTGTATTGCACCCGTCAAACAACCATATAGAGCAAGCTTAAATTTTAATGTGCTTAATATATAGATTCGAACTTTTAGCGTTGAATTAACTGAATTCTTGATTTAAAATATAATCTTATAAAACAATATACTTTAAAAATAAACTATAAGGATTCTGGAGTTCAAAGTTCGCCCAGCCTAAAGAAACGCAATGCGCATAAAAAAGTTGTGTCTCCTGGAAAGCACTCTTTCTACTAAATTCTACGCCATCAAACCCAGCAGTTTTCCAAGCACTATAAAAAACCTTGAAAGCGCAGTATTTCTTTATTTAAAAGACTGATAGCTATTGTCGCAACAAATAAATAATAATAAATTTCCTCGCAGCGCTTAATATTATTTCCTTTCGATCTTTCTCGTTTTTGTATAATACTTTTTATATATACTAATTTAATAAGCTCAATTCTTATAAAACATTTGTTGTTTCAACACTTACTGCGCTTTTAAAGCTAATAAAATGAAATTAATTATTTAGAAGAAAGCCTTTGTAAACTAGTCGGCGCTAACTATTTTTTCCAGTTCTTTGCTTTTGCAAACTTTCTTTTAGCAGTTGCAGTTCGCTTTGTAAACGGTTGACCATCGAATATAAGGTATTAACGGCGTTAATAAGCTCTTTATGAGAACAGGACTCATGAAGAAACTGAAGTGGTCTTGGTCCCGAAATCTCCGGGGCTATTGCCTTGTTGGATCTGAAGCTTTGGCTTTTAGTCACAACTTCCTTGCTTCCGGAATGCTGTTCCATATTGCTAGTAAAGTTTATGACATTTTCATTTTTTAAGGTTTGGGACTTTATATGCTTCATCGGTGGGGTCGTCCGCTCGGGGCTCTTCGCTAAGGTTTCTTCCATTGGTTTTGATTTATTCGCTTTTTTGAAATTTTTAAAGGCACCCTTAATAGATTTTTTGGTTGAAGTAGAAGTAGAGGCAGAAAAAGAAGTAATTGGGGGCATTTCTACAGGAACTTTCAGTGTTCTTTCCTCACGGGGCTTGTTTAAAAAATTTATAGTTTCTTCTAACTCAGCTGGTGTATTACAAATGCAGATCATCGATACTTTGTTATTTATTAACAAACTAAAGGCAAAGTCGTAGTTTTCGCACTGACACTTAGTTGCCTTAACTTGGGAAAACTGAAATTTATCTTTTAAAGAAAAATTTACTTTGTTGCCTTTAAAATTCTTGTATAAAACTATAAGAAAGTCGACATAGACAAGCAGTAAAAGATTCTTTAAATTTTTTTTGTCTGAATTAGGCATTAGCACGTTAGCGCAGTGTTGCAGAGATCCACAAGAGGACAACTGAGAGAAATGCAACCCTTGAATATCGCTGGATGCAAGCAATCTTTCTGTAGTTCGTAACTTTTTTATCCTTTCGGCAGATCCAACGATTCTATCAAAAATTAGAATAGCCTCAGTTAACTGTTTTTTAGCTGGAGCGGAATCCGAAGTGTTCCGCGCTAAATCTTTTAATAATTTGGGATAGACTTTAAGACGCAAAATGGGCTTATTCAAGTAAATGGGAAAAACGTTTAAGTAGTCCACCGACTTCTTCTGTGAACAGCGTTTTAGGAATTCTTGAAATTCCGAGGAAGTTTTGATTTGCATGTAAATTTCAATTGCTGTAGGATACGAAGAAAAGTAAAAATAATATAGTTTACGAAATTCCTCAGAAGATTCTAAAAAGAGTTGCCCCACAAGATCTCTAGTGCCGCCTTCAACACAAGATTCATATATTTGAGAATAAAATTTGTTATGAAAATGTAAAATTGAAAAAAAATTAATAAGAAGTCCGTTTTTCTCAGTTTCGGAAATGCCGTTGTACCCCTCTTTTAAAGGTAAAGCATAAGTTTCGGTAAATTCTTCAAGTTCACAGGAATAATAATATTCGCTTTCTAATAAAGCATTAACAGCTTGCTCTAAGAATTCAGAATTACCTTTTTCAGCTTCTAATAGTGTTTCCAAAGGCTCTGAAATCTAAAAGAGTATTTTCAACAATAAGTAAAAAAAGCAAAGTAATAAAAAATTATAATAAGCAAGGAAAGCTCTTAACTTTTAAGTTAATAAATATCAATACTTTTGCAACTTCTGTGGGATCCTCAGATTCTTCTTCGTCAATCTCTGGAGGTGTAGATCCCTCGAAAATTTTGCAGTAGGGCGAGGGAAACCAGCCTACTTGGTTTGAAACTTTACCTTCCCACCATCCTTCCTCGGGCGTTTGTGTTAGAATTATAATATCGCCCTTTCTTAAAGAAAGTTCGTCGGATTTCGTAGCTGCATAAGACCAAAGTGCAATCGCTTTTTTTGTTGGTGAATTTTTCCAGGAAGAAGAATTATTACTCTTTTCTTTATTATCCAAAATTTTCTCAAGTTCACCTCGTATTGGATTAAGACGAGAAGGCTGGCTAAAAATAAAATAAGTATACAATACGCTTGATGTTTAAAAGAGAGGTAAAAAAAAGATTTAAAAAAATTACTTTGAGGTTGTACGTCTACTTTCTAATTCGGTTATTAGGTCATTTAGGATTTTAAGCAGTTGTTCAAAGGCAGAGCCACCGTAAACCTTTAAAATATAAGATTGATTTATTTTCGTTTATTAAAAAAATATGGAGTAAGTTTACCTCTAAAGCATTCGGAGCTTCAAAGTTAATAAAAGTTTGGCACTCATCAAAAAAAATTTTCAAGTTCGCCACACTTTGAAACCTAAACTTTGCTTGAGGGTCATAATCAAAGTGTTCTAAGTAAAAAAATCGTTAATAAATATAAAAGTTTATTTTTAATAAAATAAATTAAAACCTTTTTTAAATTGATTGAGAGCATTACACAGAACTACACCAGTTTTAAGGTAAGGATGAAGTTCAACATCTTTCACTCCCAGGGGAACAGTGGATTCTTCATTTTGGGGTAAATTTCGAAGCCACTCCGCTACACGACTGGACATTCACACAAGCTACAAAGTCAAGAATTGGTGTAATATATAAAGAAAAGATAACACAGTAAGGCCAGGTATTCTGCTACGACTTTTGAATAAGAAAAGCTGGCTAACTAGTTATGCGGTGATATTGGTAGTATCCTTGACCAATAATAATTTTTAGTAAAATTTTCCAGCCCACAGCGGTTTTGAATCCGCTGCTAGGACAGGGTAAACTCCAGGTGACTTACGTCATCCGATTCGTACGGGCTATGCAGCGCAGATTCCCTATCCAGGCGGTTAACCCCTGGACGACGGCGTCGCCCTTTGAGTCAGGCAAATCACAAGCATTTAATTTTACTTACTTTACTTTTTTTCGTTCTACTTTAGTAGAACATTTTAATTAGCTAACATTTCTAGACTGTTATTTCGTTCTTGTGTTCTACTAAAGTAGGACTTTATTGGCAAACCGCTTAAGCAGAGAAGTGGTATAACCTTATTACTTTGCAGTAAAGTCAATGTTTCCATCCCATTCTTAAGTAAGCTGACCTGTAGCAGTTAGCTTCCCTATCCTTGGGGAGTAATACTTGTAAATTTTGGAATATCTCTGTATTATTGTTTAGTCCCTTGTGCTTGGGTTCATAAACTAAGATGATGTAACTTCCTTCAAAACTCAAATATAATCAACGAAGTAGAACTAATTACCCCCTTTGAAAAAAGGAAGTAATCATGGTTTGAGTATTTATACCATAGTTAACATCTAGACCCTGCTAACACTTTTAGCACTTCTCTTGGCCTTGTGTAGAAAATATAGTGGTTCTTTACGAGCATTAACTATTGGTCGATAGATAAGGACAGTGATCTCAAAAGTTTATAAAGTTTATTGAGGTGATGGATCCTTTAGTTTTCTATTTATATAGATACATGTAGTGATACCTCAACAGATTTATTTGCAACTTATATAGTTAAATTTTGCCGTTGGGCTCACTTTGTACTCTTCAATAGTGGCATCCAAATCTAACCAATGACGATGTACTAGTTGGATGTCCATCCTAGGACAGATTAAAAATTCAATGGCGTTTACGAGCTAGTTTTGTGAGGCCTAATAACCCTCTAGGATTGAAGGTTTGAGTTGGCTTGAGCTGAAACGCCAAGTAGGCTTTAGTTAGCATTGTTTCATAAAGTAAGCTGAAAACTTCAATTCTGAATATGGAAGCCTTGCTCGGTCTAACGGTTATTGGAATCCGTGCATATAATCTCATGCTTATTACTGGACTCTTACTGTCATCTCCGTGTGTAGAACATTTCTCCAATAGCGGATTCTTGAGAAGGTCCTATCAGGCCTTTGTCTGGGTTCTTATGTAGTATTCACTTAATCCATTGTCGGAGAGGTCAACTAGTTTAAGTAGAATATTGGAGTCAGCATGAGTAAGAAGTGAAGCACTCTTCTAGCTAGAGTTAAATAAATTTGTACCTATGAGGAAGGCCGTAGCATTTTACTAGGTTCTAAAAAGGAAGGACTAAGATTATATTACCGAGTTGACGAAGGCTAAACTTGATAAAAGAGCAGTTTTAGGCTGCTTTAAAGTTTGTTCTAGCTACACCGAAGGCTCAAAGTAATTAGTGGCGTTCTATCTCATCAAAGAACGATCGAAAAAGAGTTTTACCCTTTCCAAATTGAAATAACCTGCCACTTTACGCGCTAACAGATAGAAAAGAGTAATAATATCTTTAACTAGGAAGAAATAGTGACTATAATTTGTATTTATATTTCTATTTTATATTTATACCAATATGGCTCTAGGGTACTGCTCTGAAACCAGTTTTTCTCCTAACCCTATCACGTGTCATTTACTTCTATATGTTTGAAATTTTGGTATTATGCTAGAGTTGTAGTAGGATTCTATCCTAGGCTTAATGCTAACAGTTGCTCTATGACTATAATACTAATCCTTGTTCATTGTTAGATCGTAGTTCGCACCGCCTTTCTTAGCATTGAAAATAGTACGATATCTGACAGAGTTCCTGGAGAGAAACGTATGTCATAGTGTTATGGTGATTCTTTAATTTAACCAGCGCTATAAAATCCTATAAATCCTGTACGAGGCATCCTTTACTATTAACGAGTTGTAAACTGGTAGGACTTTTCTGCGTGTTTGTAGAGAAACTAGTTGCCACCTATTGGTACTTTTGTAACACTACCTTAATTCGAGGGCTTTTAGCTTTATAATTTAATTAGTTTATATAAAATTCAACTTAGTTAAACAAAAATAGTTCTAAGTGAGCTTAAGCAATAGATTTTTTTTCTTGATTTTAGTGCTTTACCCTGAAAAAATACTTATGCTTTTACTATCAAGCAACACTTAACTAAAATAAATAAATTAATAAATAACATTTTAATGAATGAGAAGACTAAATTAACAAATAAAATAAAATGAAATAAAACCTAACTTTTTTAATAGTAAAGAACACATATACGTTTTTGTGAAAAACTAAAATTTATACTTGTAAATAACACTATTTTAAAAATAATTAAGTCCTCTGAAAACACCGTATAAAGAGCTTGGAAATTTAGCTCGATGCTCCTATTTAGGACGTCCTCTGCATTAATACTACTTTAACATTTACCTTGATTTTGCGAGGGACATGCTAGGCATCGTTAACTTGGCTGTGACTGCAGCAGATAAGACCTGTATCTTTGAAGGCATCTGCGTAGGTTGAGCTATTAGTGATAGCACTTTGTAAAGAAATTTTTTTGTTTGACTCTGACCGTTAGCTTCATCTTGCTGCTTTCGCCAAGTTCTGTACGCTCTCCATCAGAGCAAAAATTGCTTTGTTTACCTAGGCTAATAGAGTAAAGCGCACGAAAAAGATCTTGCCCTATATATAAGCGCTACGTTGAGTTAGTCCTCGCAGCTTCCTGTCGGTAGATGTATCGAAGGTTTATAGCAGGCTGCCACCCGGAGGTGGATTGCATGTCCAATGTCGGTTCAGTTCCCTTTGGTCATGTCACCCACTCCGACTAACGAAGGGCTTACTTTGACCCAAAGCTAATGATGCTAACACAGGTTACTGTAATGATTAACAAACCTTCAAGTTATGAATATGGTACCTTCCTTTGGCAAACATTGGGCCCAGGGTGGGCATGCACCCCGGAAAGTTGAAAGGTGTTTTACGCTCGGTTCGAAAGAATTACTTTTAAAACTGGCAAACTCAATACGAACGAAAGCTTCTAGACAGGTGCTACATTTCCTGTGGCCTTAGAGGAAGACTTACCGTCTATTCGCATATGGGCAATGTGAAGTCAGACCTTGATGAGCGGCTTTTAAAGTTTAGAAAATGCCCGACTATTAACTTGGCTAAAGTACAAACTTGCCCGAGGTTTACTAGCATTGCCTTTGGAAGTCGTTTCTTCTGAGAAGCGAACAAGCAGCTCTAGTAGAACCTTGAGCGAATTCTGGTTGAAATTAGCTAAGTTTTGTACATGCAGGCCCTTCTAGCTAGGTCCGTCTGAAAGCTTTCAGTGGTACTGGCAGCAAAATTAGTGACAACTTTAGCACTCTTGCTCCGTTCTTAAACCATACGTGAGGTTGGACTATTGGTTCAGTCAAATAATTGAACTGACCTCCGCCGATGTGTAATAATGCTTGTTTTTTGGTATGTATCTTAAATGATACGTAGTAAGAAGTGCTGTGGGTAAAGAACGTTATTTACTAGTATATAGTTATATAGCCGGCGAAAGCCTAGTTCCCATGTGCGCTCCAGTGCCCAATTTTTTATTTAGGTATCCAAACTGGTAAGAGTATTCTTTAGAAGTAAAAACCAATAAAATGTAATAGTATTTCAAGATTTAACCACTGCGTGTTACTCTTTTAACTCTTCTAAATATAATAAATTGAAGCATTAAACCTACAAAATTATACTAAAATATCTAACTAATTTTTATTATACTAAAGCCAGAGGTTCCCTTACTTAACTAAGTTGTGTCAGAAAGTGTCAGAGCAAAACTTTATAAAGCAACTGAGGCTCTTCAAACTTTAATTATTCCCGGAAGTTGCAGGTTATACGGTAATCCACATTTGCCTATGTTCTTTACTAATTTATTTAAAAATTAATATAAATTCTTTCAAGTTTAATTAGATTGTTTCTGCTTCGACTCTCGGGCGAGTTTTCCATGGAGTATTCGAGTTTGGACAGAGCAAGCGGAGAAACACAGAAGCAGCTCGTGGAAGAGCATCAGAAAAACTCAGTAGAAAAAATTGTTCATTTTTGTCGTATAAGAAATCGATCGTCCTGAGCTGGAGACCAAAGTACTAGAATTTAAGAGGGTGAAGATTAGATACACAATCAACAACAACCGAAATAGAAAGTAGCATTCCGGTGGGGATCTAACCCACGACCAACGCGCTTTAATGCTTTTAACCGCTGAGCTACGACAACAACCCTTAATCCTGGTGTGATGACTTAACGTATTTATTCGAAAAAGGGGCTAGACTGAAAGAACGCCCCATCCCTCCTTTATCGTTTTTGGGTAGTAAAAATCTAAGGTATTTCAAGTAAAATTATTGCTTATTGGTAACAGTTAGACGGGCGATCTCAAGCCCCAGTTCAGTATAAAGTGCACCGAAACTAGTGATACTTTTCTTTAAAGATGCACAAAAATGACGGCAAAATAGAATGGATGTAATGCCGGATGCATAAGTACCTGGACAATTACAATGTTCGTGTAGTAGGCTGTTAAATTTTTTTGGACAAATAAGTCAAAAGTCGATGTCTAACACAAACGTTTTCCCCAAAAAAAAATTTGCGAGAGTGATAATATGTATTCTGTTTGGCTGGGGTGAGGTCAAAGATATTATCCCACGGTTAAGAGAAAATAACATCCTTTTCTTCTTAAAGAAGAATTGGATAGTAGAAAACGAGAATCATTTAGCACGTAGAAGTAGAAGAAAGCCGAAGCAAGTTAGTTCAAAGCTCAGCCAAATTATGGTTAACAGTTCCATTTAAACTGAAAGACAATGAAGTAAATCTTATGCCTTTTGAACCTAACGACTTTTGTAAACAAAATTCCTAGTTTTAAGCTCAAACTTAGGTATAAACTGTAATAACGTGTGATTATGCGACAGTATTCACTATAAATACACTTGTAGATATTAATGAATAGAGGTTATGGTGTTTACAGTTTTATTTTAAAATAATATTGTACCAAGTATTATTACTTAAAAATAATAAATAAAATTGAAAGTTGTTCTTTAAAATGTGTTAATAAGATTAAAATATATATCTAAGATAGTTAACATATGAGAGTTAAGTCGGCATAAATTTGACTTTAGTCTAATGAATGTACGCGTGATCCCGCGGGATTGAAAATAAAGAAATAGTCTTTTACTATTTTATTAATCAATTTTTGCAGAAATCCTCACAAAATAATTCAAGATTCTTTCATTCGTGATTCCAAATGTTTTTTTCCTTATGACGCGCTTATGACTCATAACACCAACACGTCCTGTTCAGTATCGTCTGTTGTGTTTTAAATAATAGCTTATTATGCGAAATAAACTCACACCGTTGTTAAATTCGACTTAAAATTAAACTTGGAACACATATTTGGATGCTCTGTTTCTTTTTTTTTTTATTACGATGTGTGAAATAAAAGAAAGTGGTTACTTTGAACAAGTGGATTCGGCCCTGCATTCCCCCGGATCTTTTTTAAAAATATACGATACATAATCTGCTAAGTGCCAAGAATGTTCCGAAGTTATAAATTAAGGGCTAGAACGACAAAAGGATTACATATAATCATTTGAAAACCATTCATAAGATCGATTAAAAAATTACAAAGGAACACCGTCCAATAGTATTGAAAAGGGACCGAACCTAAAAAAAAATCCGGGTGATGATTGTAATGAGCCGGCATAACTCATTTCAAACCAAAAAAAGGAAATTGGAACATTATTTTCCTTTATAAAAACGAAAGCACTGAGATGATTAAACCGCGGATGGTTGCAATAGATGTTTTTCTATTAAAATCTTTTATTACTTCGACGAATTATAGAAAGTTATAGATAAATCAGGACAGAGTTACAGGTTCAGTCCACACTGTTAGCAATATCGTATTGAAATATGGAAATTCCGTAAAAAATGGTATGATTGAGGAAATTTTTGCTTTGCATTTCCAAAAATCATTGATAATTTTTTACCTTTTTTTTAAGTTATATTATATTTATAACATCTCATTTATCGTAGACTTCGTTAACATTGGACGAATGGACCTCTATAAGAAACCGACGCTACTTAAATGTAAAACGTTCATTGCTGTATGAAAAATTCAGTAATATTTGCAAATTAGGATTCGCTCGGGTGAAGGAAAAATGCCTACCGGGAATTTTTCAAAAGTTAGAAAATAAATTAGTCACCAAATTTGTCGTTTAAAAAGATATAGTAGCCGTTTGTAATGATGGTGTTAGTGTAATAATAAGAATGGGGAAATCGTTCAGTGCAGAGCTAGGTGGCGGTGAGTTAAAAATTTAGAAGTTGTTTAAAAATTTACTTTGCTTAAATAAATGATTTTATGTCTTTCTTGTAAAACAGCAACTGTATTATATTCATAACCTTCAGTTAGCAGTCTTAGATGTTATTTACAAATAAAAAGCAAAAGATAAAGTAGAAGAAGGTATTAAACTGGGACTGAAAGCGAAAAGGAGGAATCCTTCCTCGGTTGAATCGGACGACGAGGCATTCACCGAAGTTGAAAACGTAGGAGTTTTTTAAAAGCTTTAGTAGATTATAAAGAAATAATTAACTAAGTCCGTTAAGTTGTAAAGTTAATTAAAATTTAGGTTTCTATGCAAAATAATGTTAAACATCAGCTTGGAAGAGAAATAAAGTTTGAAATTGACTTGTAAGACTAGATAGAGTGGTCTACACGATATTGCAGAAAGAGTTATAGAGCTAAAGACTTTTGTTACAGTAGCATTGTTAGGGTTGCCTGCGGAAATAAGTTTTTGTGAATCGGAATGGCAAAATTACTCCAAAATAACCATAGGGCGCTTAAGCCTATCAAAGCGGCCGTCGAGATTCTCGGCAGGCGCAGCGCGAATTTATTGACAGCTGAAACACCCTTGAATTTTTTGCAAAAAAATTGAATCAACAAAAGAATAAAATGAGCAATGAACTACCTACAGCGATTAAAAAAAGAAAACTGAACGAAGGGTTGTACAGACGCCGGTCTTGAGTTTTCTTCATAATCCCGGAAGTATTCGAAAGAAAATCATTGACTCTACTGTTTTTACCTGTCCTTTACAATATATTATAAGGAAAACAATAAAAAAATTTTGTTAGACGTTTAACCCGTGAGGACAAACCTCACCGGAAAGCTGAGGATGAAGCCAGCAAAAATATTGACGAAATTCCACAAGTGGAGAATTTGTCAAGTAAGCAAGGAACAGCTTGATATGGCTTTTGCCAAAAATCCTTCCAAACCAGAAATAAAAAAAAAATGCGATCCCTATAATTTGGATGCAGTAAGAAGGAAGGAAACAAATATTATGGGATCAAGATAACCAGCGAGGGAAAATTTAGAGATGATGTCCCAAAACCTTACAATTCCACTGCCAAGCGTCGAGGCAGAACGAGCGAATCAATGGCAGGAGTTTTGTACGGAATTAAGGTGTCGTATGAATGACGAAACCTTAGACCTATTAGTTTTTTTTAAATCCTACTCCCGCAATCATTAATTTAAGTACTAAAAAAAAATTAATTAACCTATTGTATTTTTTTTCATTTTATCTTTTCTTTAATAATTTTTTAAATTTCTCTTAGCATAGGTCTCTGAATTATTGCTACCTTGTGAGCAATGGAAAGCGTTTAGGTAGGAGAGAATTTTTCAACTAAAAATTTTTTTTTTCTTTTTAATTTTTCCCTCTTGTAGGTACGCATGATATAAAGAGAGTCTTCAAAATATTAAAATCGAAGTTAATTTTTTATACCTGTCAGTTACAGGCAGTACCCAAACTAGTAAAACGAGTAAATTTTGTTTATCCCGCAAAGCCCAATCCTTCGCGGAATCGCATTCCCTACGACCTTCTATTGTAAAGGCATTGAGAGATGTACAAAGTTTATGAAAAAAAAACCGTGTTAAAAACAAGGCCAACTTAGTCAGCATTGCCAGGTTCTACCTATTGAATTTTCGGCCACCTAACAGAAGTTTTTAAATCACCCGTTACCCAAATCCAGAGCAACGTTGTACGGAGTACTGGAAGACGAAACAATAAAAGCTTCCACTGCGTAAAAATAAAATAAATAGATAAGAGTTATTATTAAATATAACGATAAGATCTAAATCATTGTAATTACTGACCTTTTGTAGCGCTATAAAAAAAATTATATAAAAGTATACTTTAGCAATATTCAAATACATTTCACTAAAATTTCTGTAGTTTACGGAGGGCAGTATATAGGGTACGCCCAAAATTTCTAGAACCGCATTCTTATATTTATATCCTTTCTCGAAAGTCGTGGCCATTTTATGTCCGAGGATTCATATTAAGGTTTTTTTTTATTGATAAGCGAAAAAGTTCTTTGCAACTCATACTTAAAATAGTTATAATGCTTTAAATAGAAGCAATCATTTCGTTATTAACAATTTTTTTAATTTTTTGGTTTGCTTTTGTAACATAAAAGTAAACTTTAGTTGAGAGTATTATTGACTTAGTTTCTTTTTAAGTGTAAAGAGCATAATTTGCTTACAGGTTAATTTACGGGGCGAAGGTTGTGTTTCGATCAATTTACATAAAAAAAACTATGCAGTAGGCTTTGAAGCTCCCAGCCCTTAGAGGTGCCCAGGATATGACCCTAACACTAACTGCGCACTTGAGCAGTTACATGTGCAGGTTTAAAATGCCATTAGAATATCATTATATAACAATTGGTAAATTCGCGAAAAGTCTGTGGGCATAAGCAACCGACAAGGGTGCGAAGAAAAGTATGCCTAAATTATATAAACACCGCTTTATGTTAGGCGGTTTAGACCAAGGACGGTAGTTTTTCAGTTAATATTTTCCCTCTGTTCTCAAGTCGTTCGGGTCAGTCATATACTGCTTTTAAAAGACTACCGATTAAAGAGCTTTTATGCCCCACTCCCTTTTAAAAAGGGAAATACAGTTTTAGGGGGGTTCAGTAGGCCCGGCCTTAGTACGTCAATGCTAATCAAAAAGTATCCACTTAATTTACATTAACTTTTCTTAGTCTTTTGGCACAGGCATGAGCTATAGTCAAGCATGCGCATTTATTTTTTATTGGTCATAATAAGCCTACCCATTAGAAAAATGCTAATTTTTAATTTTCGATTTTGTTTAAGGTCGATCAATCTACTTTCAAGAAAAGATCAAAAAATTATTTGTTCTTCATTAAGCCCGTTATCAATTTTTAAATCGACCTTTAAATTCAAATAATCAATCATAAGGTTAATATACTTAATTTTAAGGATCGTCGTGCTTTTTAAATGGTTCTGAGGGTTACGCTCAGTAGAGACTATTCGATAGTGCGATAAATAAAACCTTAAAAGTGAAATTACCAAGAAGCCGGTGATTATTCGGTTAATTTAAATAGCTTTTTGTTTGAATTTTGCAAAAAAATTAATAAATTAAAATATTAGCAAATTAATAATATGCTTAATTATTAGGGCATCTTTTTTAACTGTACCACTCAAAAGGAAAAGTTCAAGAGAGTAGGTTTTAATGGATACTTTCCCTATTAAAGTTAGATGAATTATTATTATGATGATACAATAAAGTAAATAAAAAAAATTCCTTGTTCCAATAAAATGGTATAGCAACTTTTTTAAAAACAAATTAGCCAAAACTTAATCTTTTTTGGAAGCAGCTTGAACCGGTACACACGCTTGAGGCAACGGGTTCAGCCAGGGTTATGGATACCTCTTTTTCCGCTAGCAAAGAACTTAAGAGGCTTCAAGTAAAAATTTACGGGCTGCTCTTTTATTTTTAACATCGTCTACATTAGCTAAAATATTATTACATAGAACGCCAGAACTATCTATTATAGTAGTTCTGACATTCAAAGGAGTAATGAACCATACGATGTTAAAAACTTTGATGATGACTTGCACTTGGCCTCCCTTTATGAAAAAATTAATGATCTAGAAGAAAGCAATCAAAAATATGTAATTTTAATATTAACATCTATTTCTCCCCTCTTGACCCACAGCGCTGGTGCAGAATATGTTCGTTTTAATGACAGTTCTACGCCAGCCTAAAAAATTTTTAGTAGCAGGGACTCACAGATAATAATGACACAACATTAATAGTGATTCTCATAAGTTACATAATTCCTTATTTCCATCGCCAATGTAGCTATTATGTTTACTGTAAACATTTGGAATGTTAAGAAAACTTAGCCTCTCATATAATAATTACTATTACTGTATCAAAACTTCTCTATAAGAATGCTTATAGATTTTAACACTACGTATATAACACTTTTAAGTTTCAGTGAAAGCTAACCGTTCTTTGATGCTTTCTTTTTACACTTTTGTTTTTAAGAGGCTCACTAAATCTAACACTTATTCGTCAAAACTAGTTTTTTAGTTCGGAAAAAAAAAATGTCCACTTACGATGCTATAAGTTACTCTTTACCTGTTGACTAAAGCTAGTAGGGTAGCCGATGGAGGGTGTAATGATGGGGGCCTAAATAATTAGACTAATACAATTTATAAAAATTAGTAATGAGGAAGCTTCATAGAATGTTTTGTCGGATGTGATGCATGTAGGTTAAATAAGTAACGCTCGTACATTAAGTTTTTAAGGATCATAGTTGTGAAAATGGTACTTTACGAAGGTCCACATTCCCCTTAATGGGCATCATATGCAATTTTATCTTAAGTAGGCGGCCTTTATAGGAAAGATATATAAGTGCGTGAAATTTAAAATAATATATATATTCTTCAATAAGTTCAGCGACCTGACTACATTTGGGAGGCTCTATAGCCGACCGTGTGAGAGAACTTTTAAATACAAATTTTAATAAAGGCTGTAGCAGAGTCCGTATACAACGTGTGAGAACTCGATACTTTAGTTAAGTGGTTTCCTGCTCTCTTAAGGTGCCCACGTTGAATGCTGTGGGTAGAAATTTTAGTATCATAGCCAGCTTATTTTTACTTTATTGCTTTTGTAATTATTAATGTTATATATATATTTTTTATATACTTTTTCTTAAAAAGTTTAGAAAGACTTTTAAATGGTACTTAGTTATCTCATAACAACTTAATCTTAATTCCTGCAACTCGATTTTTTGTTTTGTGAAATTTTAATTTATGTTAGTTTTTTCGTTGGATATTATTTTAATATAACACTAAGAAACACAAATATTGTAACCTTCATACTTACCAGGGTTTCTTCGTGGGTATCTAACTTTTATATTATAAAGCTTGGTAGCTCTATAGCCCTTACAGTTACTAAAAGAAAAGTCTTTATTATATTTATTGAACTTTAACTTATAAGGTGGCGGAGTTAGCCCAATTGCACAGGGAAGTATCTTATTTAAATGAAAAAAACGAAAAAGTAGAAGCAATATGCGACGATCAGGTCTTATCGTAGAGTTAGAACTCTCTTATATTGTTACTAAGGGACTTAACAAGTACTTATAGGGAGACCAGCTTAGAAATCTTTCTAAAGAGCGTAATATTCTAAGCTCATTGGTGAATGATTTAAAAAGAGAACTATCCATATTAGAAAAAGTATTAAGGATTAAATTTTTTCAAAAGCACTTTTAAACTTAAGTCTTACAAAGAAGGAGTCGCGGATTTTAGCTGAAGAAAAAGTATATGAAAAAAATGCAATGAACTTTGCTAGTATAAAATTAGAAAACGAACAACTGAAGTTAGAAATAAGTGAACTAAATGAATGTATGAAGAATCTTCAGGTTTTTTCTTTTACTTAAAAGATTACTGTTTTATTTACGACATAACAAGAAACAAAGCATTATAAGAAAAGCAAGCAAAGAAATATTTATGCTTAAGAGGCAGTTAGATGAAGCCAAGGTCATCAACATATTTAGCATATTTACACATTCTTACTTTATAGTCAAAAAGGAAGTGGTAACCGATGAAAACAATATAATTATAATATTTAGATAAAAGTTTTTGAAAAGGAAAAATTTATACTCAGTTTACTTACTGAATTTGAACCTTTTTATAATCGAAAAAATCTGAAACTTCATTTATCCTTTGCAAACCTTACTTTTCTCTTGCCAAAGGTTATGCCGATACACAGTTTTAGTGCTATTATATGAGTACTTTTGGAGCAGACGGACACCAAAGCTAATAATGCTATAACCGCTATTGAAATTAAAAAAGATACCCCTAAAAAAATTTTTAAAACCGTACTTAACGGAGGAAATCTTTTTACCAACTGGTTTTTTTTTACAAAATTCTGTATTTTTATTAAAAACTTGGTATTTACAGTCTACAAAGGGTAC